GGGAGCAGCTGAGAGAGGATCCCAGGGACTGATCCCACAGCCGAGCGCAGGCTGCAGGAAGGACTCGGGTGAGCTGTGGCTTTGCCAGTGCCAAGGGAACACAAGGAGGCAGGTGAGTGCTGGGCTCCTTGTGGTCACCTTCACAAGGCAGAGGAGGTGACTGATGGGGAGCTGAGGTCCCTGCTGGTTTCATGCCGGGGGAAAGGGGAGCGCTGCGACCTTTTTGGGGCACTGGGGGATTTCTGGGGCAAGTCGGGGTGAATGGGGAGAGATGGCCTCTTTTTCCCGTGGGATTATTTCTGTTTCGGTTATTCTTCGCTGTGTGCCGGCATCCTTTTCTGGCTCTCGATGGCACTTTATGGCACGCTTGGGAAAGGTGAGAGTTTGACGGAGGACAACCTTCAGAAGGGATAGGGCGGCATTCCCAGCGATGGGAGTCCTCTGGAGGTGCCGGACATGAACTTGTGCAGGCACAGGTCAGGCAGGGCAGTACTACAACAACGCTGGGAATAATGTGAAGCTAAAGCAAGTGGGAAGGTGCCACATGCTGTGGCCTCTGGGGGTTTCAGAGGGATTTTCTTCCCATTTGCTTCAGTGTCAAACTTGCTGGCACATCAGGGCACGGAACATTAAAATAGCTCCTCATGAGGACTGGGTTTTCCTCATCTGTTGCTCCTGGCTCCTTGGGAAAGCAAATAAATCACAACGGGAGGGTTTGTTGTGTCTGGTTGTGTTGTGTTGTTGGGGAGGGGGAGAAATGAGAAGCAGCTTTGTAACTTGAATGCCTCCTGGCATCCACACAGCACAATATAGTGGGTTTCAGTGCATGCAATGAGCTTTATTAACCCTCCTCATGCCCAAGGGGTGGATGTGAAATGGTTCGGGCATGCATAGTTGGTTTCAGCTGGAGAAGAAGACCTTTGGCCGTATGGGGCCAAGTGCAGGTGGTGCAGGCATGCCTGACTGCATTCGCTAAAGCACATGGTGGGTGAAGATGTCTTCTTCAGCTCCTCAAGAAGTGCTGACGGGGTGATGTGCCTGACAATGTGTATGTTTAATCGCATCTTTGTCGTCCATGATTTTGAGAAGGGCAAGGAAATTCCAGCGCTGGCCAGCCCAGGTGTCGGAAGGTGCAGGAAAAATAGTTGTGAGAGAAGCTATGGCAAGGGAAAAGGAGGAATGTCAAGTTTGTGGGTAGCCGGGCTCCATCTAAATCACAGATCATGCTAGCAAGTCACCTCCAGTCAGTCATGGATGCGAACAGATTAAATCGGTGTGAACAAGGGAACAGAAGGAATTCTGTACACTGTGGGAAGGAGGGGACTAATCCTCAGTGTGAAAGCAGACACTGCTGCTGCTTGAATACATCACCCTGATTTTAACCTTTTCCTTATGTTGAGTTGCATCTCGGCATGTGAAAGTCCAGTTAACTGCAGTGGGGGTCCGATCATGGCTCTGTGTGAGCAGTGATGGACCTCCGCTTGCTGCTGACAAACGGGACTCTGGCATCTTGAGTGTGGTCAGTAAAATAACCAAGGCTTTGAGCCTTAAAATAATCCCTTAAATTTCTTTTGGGGTGTACAACATGGATGAGATGGTCTTGAGGGTCCAGGCATCTTAGAATCATAAATTGGTTTGGGTGGGAAGGGACCTTAAAGCTCATCCAGTTCCAACCCTGTGCCACAGGCAGGAACACCTTCCACTAGAGCAGGTATCTCTAAAGAGCTCCAAATTCCATCTTCCACTGAAATCAGAGGGGACTGTGAGTCCTCAATGCTCAGTGCATCACATTTATATAAAATTCAGTAGTATGAATCCAGAAGACTCATTTGGGGCACCCCCATACATGGTGTATGTACATTCCTCATCCTAGTGCAGGGCATTCTCCAGCTAAAACCAAAATGCCATTCTGTGACCCAACTGGTCCATTGCTTGAACTGGACAGAGAATGTCCTTTAATTTGTACAGGGCCAGCAAGATCAGTGCTCTCAGCCCACCTGATCTGATACAGTGTGTGGGTGGTTGTAGGGCTGCAGGTAGTCTTCACTGAATTTGGACCTTTATTCCATTTTCCATGCCCTTGTCCATCCTTGAATGCAACTTTTTGGGTTCTTGTGTAGTGTTTATGGGGTTCTTATTGCTATTATGTCAAAATAGGCTTTGAACCTGACTACTGAGCTTTGCATGTCTTCACCTCTTACATATCCCTGAGTATTTCTGCCCCAAAGCCTCCTTGACATCCCCTTGACCTTCAGCGCAGTGACCATGCTGCAGGGGAACGGTGCAGCTTGGCCAAGTGACTCAAGTATTGACCTTGGTCATCTGCTCATGAGCTGGAAAATCCAGTCAGCTTTTTGGACCTACCGTGTCCTGGTTTCTTCAGCTCTTGCTTGAAGCCACGTGGTGGGCACCAACAGTCTATAGGAGGTGTTGTGCCCGTTGTCACTGGTCAGACCGGGTCGCCTTCATCCTCGTATACCAAAGAAGGGAATCGCAGGGAGAACAGAAGATCTGAAGAGTCTCATTTCCACATAAAATACACTTTCAAATTCAGTCCTGAAATAACTGCCCTGCAGCTGTTGCCTCTTGACACTTCCTCACTGCCCTTCATCAGCGGGATGAACTTGCTTCCAGGGCAAAACACATCCCCTTTGCAGTGGAAGCAGTGACCGCTGCTGAATGTACCCGGGCTTCCTTGTGACATTTTACAGGTTTTCAGTGGTATGTGGTAGCTTATCCACTGGCATGCAGGGGTTAACAGGACTTTTGGGTGGGCGGGTGGCAAACAAACTGTGAAATGGAAGAAGGTCAGTGGCTTGGAGGAGTTTGCTCTGTCACAGATGGTTTTGAGTTATCAGCCCATCTGTAGGAGAGGTCTCCATTCCTTCCCAGCCAAGGAAACCATAAAACCAGGGTTGGAAATAAGGCAAAGTCTTACCAGGTCTGGCCTCAGTGGACCAGGCAGAATTGTGGCTCTTCTGGTACTTGGAAGATCCAGCTGTCTTTCTAATTGGGAATTCCTCAGTTGTCCAAGCAGACCCCAACAGCTAAATGTGATTTGAGACTAAATATCATTGGCAGCGCACTGCCAGTGGGGAGCAAACCACTGGAAATGAAGCGTACATGGGAACAGCAGGAAGCCTTGTGGCTCTGGGAAGTGCAGGTCCTTTGACTGGGCTAACTCTGCTTAGGGGAAGGCTCTTGCTGCAGCTGATGAGCCCTCAATTCAGGTTTTGGTAGACGCCACTAAATGCTTCCTCAAGGAGCATTCCCATGGCTTACATGAGGTGTCTTTAGAGACTTGTGTAGCAACTGGTTGTATTAAAGGTACTTAATGTTACGGCTACAGCACCCAGTCAATGTCTCGGGAAGCATCCTGATGGCCTAAAGGTGAAGAAAGGTGGGAAACTGCTGAGGATATGGATAGAAAATAGGATCTGCTACTGAGAGGGTTCTCCACTAGCAGGTGGAAAACCCTTGCTGGCTTCTTTTCTTGGCTTGTTAACTCTTAAATTGTTCATATCTTTGGTTTTGGAATTGCTTCTACTTTTGTATCACTGTGAACATAACAAGGGATGCAGCACTGAATGATCTCAGCCCAAGCTTTTGAACAATTGCAGCTTCCTCTATTGGCATTGTTTTCTTACGAACGAGGAAGGTGTAAACACTGTCAGCAGCAATCACTGTCAAAAAGAAGGAAGGAATGAAGAAAATTACTCCAGAATTTAATTGTCGCATTTATATTTTAAATGGATTAAAATGGTGATCCCAGGGCTACAAAGGAGAAGTTTTGATCTCTGGATCAGAACAGCTGATGTGTGACAGATCAAAATGCTAACTGCCAGTGGCTTTTCAACTGAAAGCTTACCTCAGACGAGCAGAAATGGTGCTCTTTGTGGTTCTTCTCTCTTTGTCCTATTTGACACGAGTCTCAGCTACAGGACCAGGTTTTTGCTGTATGTTCCCTTCGTTAACCACAGATTTCAGAACTCGAGTCTTCTGATGGGAAACCAGAGGAAAACTTCACGTGAGCCATGGTCACCGTGATAGAAATACTTTGATTGCCAACTTCAGGAACCAGCCCTTCCCCTCAGAGTTGAACATGGGGATTTAATATGAATATGTGGGACGCAATGCAAAGGGAATCAAGATTGTATGCTCGCAGCCAGAAGTGATGAAGGTAGACTTTCATGCTCAAAGAGATCAGGCTTTGTTGTCTGCATGTAGTGCTGCTGGGAGAAGGTAGCATTCAGTCCTAGGCTGGCCATCTCTGAACATCAGGAATTAAACAGAGGTACCTCTGCTTTCTGAGTAGGGGAAGGAGGTTTACAGATTGCAAGGGCAGACTGGAAACAAAGGATTTTAGGGCACAATATGCTGCACTTGCACTTCTAGTGTAAACTGGTCCATGGAAATCGGTGGCCCTGGTGCTGCTCATGGGATCAGCCTGTGGCTTGGTTGGAAGGGAAGACTGCACTTTGAGGTGTCTGTTTTGGCTGTAGCAGTGGGGCTCTCTAGGAGGAGCTGGGTTTCTTTCAGACCTCTCAGAATAGCACAGACTGAAAGACTCTGAGTATGAAGGCCAAGCCCAGGCATGGTCACTCCATACAGAAGTGCGATAACCCGCTGTTTTGACTTCTCTGCTAAGGAATCATGAGATCTAAGGACTTGTTGCCTCTGAGAACCAGTCTACTGGTGTGTCCTACAGAACTTGGATGTACAGCTTGTCCCTTCTTTGGAGAAGCCATTGATCCATACAAATGCTTGTCCTTCTTCAAGGCACGAAGTCTTGACTGAGCTTGCATTTGGAAATCCAGTGTTGTCTTGACTGATGGTCACATCTGACCAAGCTGGCCCACTGCCTTGCTTGGGGCTTGCCAAAGGCTCTGGGCTCAATGGCACCTCCCCTGCTCCTGTGGGACCATGGGTGTATAATGAGCCCCCTACAACTACACAGAACAGACTGTGGGCAGGTCCTGAGCAGACATAGCTTCTAGGAGAGGGGAGAGGTGTGAGAGGGACAGGAATCTCATTTCTTTTGCCACTGAGTAACATTTACAGCAGGCTAATAAGGGGCACGGATTCTTTCATACAGATCGCTAATACCCGTGCCCAAGAGACCTATTGAACAGCTAGGAAGAGCTCTGTGGCCTGAGCCAACAGAAGAAGCCACCGTGGTCCTGGGAGATGCAATATTGACTTCGAGCAGGATCATCTCAGAAGTTCAACCTGTAAAGCAGTGAGTTTGGTCATGGCCCCACTGAGATTTGTGTGTGGGTGATAGAGAGCTGGGAGTGTGCAGTGTCTCCATCGCTCTCATGGCAGCCAGTGCTCTCTGGTGTAGTGGGTCTGAAAATGGGTGAGGATGTTCTGGGAGGAGTGGTGTCCTGTAGCGTGCACTGGTTTCCCTGGGAAGATGGCAGGTTGCTGTAGATCTGCCATAACTACCTCATGTAGCTAACGTGGGACTTGTGCTATGGGTACACTATGGTTTCTAATGTGTTTTGCACGCATTTCTTGGGGCAGTAAGTAGGGATATGTTGTTTTTTCCTAAAGGACATCTGTTGTATTTGCTCTGTGATCCTTGCTTGACATTCATTGACTGTATGAAAATGCATGTCTGCTAGGCAAGAATTCATGGATGCGTTGCGGACATCGACAGGAACACGCTGACCTGTCCTTGTGTTGTCATCCCAGACTGACCTGAGCTCACTCTTCAGTTCATTGCTGTTGGGGCTCCGTTGCTTTCCTTCACTTAGAAAATACAGCTTGTGTATGTCTCCTTATGGCATTTTGCGTCAATGCCACTTTTGTAAACAAATAGCTATAGAGTGTATCTGGTGTATGTGTACGTAGCTTGTGGGCAGCATGAGCAATCACTTATAGTCATAATCCCCGAGGCAGAAGAGAAGATCAAATTAAGTATAGATTTACCAAAGGAATAAGTCACACAAAATCTGATCCTTGGGCATTCCTCCCCACTCTCCACAAGACCTCAATTCATCACTGGAGTGCTTGTGACGTTCCCCCTCTCTGACATGCCCAGGAGTTTGCATGGAGCTGTGCCTCTGCAGTTGCTGGCCTTCAGTTCCATGGTTCTAACCAAACTCTTAGAGGTTTTCCTTTAAAAGTCTTCTGAAATAGGAAGATTCAAGTTCAAAATATTACTTAAAGTCAACAAACCATAGAATGGTTTGGGCTGGAAAGGACCTTAAGCTCCTCCAGTTCCAACCCCCTGCCATGGGGAGGGACACCTTCCACTAGGCCAGGTTGCCCAAACAGAGAAAGCCCACCCAAACCTGAAAGAGCAATTTGAGGTGAGAGATGCTTCTTCTCAGTGAGAACCTGGGTCTCTGGTGTAAAGCACAACAAGGATCTGAGGCTGAGCTCACAACGCCTTGGTGTTTTGCTTAGAACGTTCCTTGTGTCAGGACTGTCTTCATCTTTAGGAATTACAAGAACTAGACTGCTGCATCTGCTGCTGATTGATTTGTTGTAATGATTCAAGTCTTCTACTGCCATCTGTGCTAATGGCTTTGTACTCCTCATCACTCCCAGGATGTGGTACCTCGCATGGCTCTGTACCCATCACCTCTACATGAACCACTCAGTGCCTGTCACTTCTCCACCAGTCTGGTTAATTTTGCTCACCGGCCTCTGCCAGCAATTATGTCACATCTTGTCTGTGTGTTCCACTGTCCTGAGCCTCGTAAATAACTACTTGTGACACCACGAGTGCCTCCAAACCCTGTGACTCCAAAATGTTTTGCTTATTCACTGAGCTGATTTATGGCCCTATCGCTGATGTCCAGTCCGGCTGCAAAAGGGAATGGGCTCTTGCTCTGCCTCGGCCAGCCAGAATGATAGATGGGCAAGCTGAAGAGCAGACCTCCCATCCCATCAGGCTACCTGGCTTATTTTGGTAGGTTAAAAATAGCCTCACTAGCCAAGGGCTTGCTCCTGCTCTGCATTCAAAGCTGTGGAAACTTTGCTACTACCTCCAAAGGGGACATCTCTGCAGCTGAAAACCAGACAGCTTTCTGCCTGGGGTGAGGAACATCCAAGCCTTGATTATGAACGAGCCTAATGCATAACAAGGATGTGTTTTTCAGAGGAGTGAGATTGTTGAGCCACTTCCAGTATTAGCCCTCTTGTGCGGGGGGATGTTGGTCAACAGCATTTCCCCTAGGGAGGAGTAGGTTGCCTTTTGGAAGTGTTTGCCTCTGTTGAATAAATAGCAACCTCTGTGATCATCTTAATCTGGACACCCATGTTGGAAGCGCCTGTGAGTGAAGATGTGATTTACACCGTGGTACTTTTGGGAAGGCTTTTGTTGTCTTCCATTTCTTTTAGAAGATGCTGTGATTTCCTTTTCTGGGATTGACCTGAAGTCTAAGCAAACCCATGGTTATTCGTGTAACAAGGGAGTAGAAATGTTAACAGTAAGCAGGGCAGGGTCTGAATGGCTCTGCCAGCTGATATTTTCTGGGCCTCTTTTAACACAGAAGACACTAGGAAATGCCATGTGGTTGGATTGATTCTGCAGAAGGAATGTTCTCTCGCATATCCCGGCACTGTTATTTTAACTGTGCAATCAATGTGTGGCATTACCATGCTGCTGTCTCGCCCTCCAGAAGGTATGAATTCACAGGAGTTTAAGCACTCACAGCAGCTTATCTTTAATCCAAGTGGATTTCTGGGATATTTCAGGCCCTATAAACTCAGCAGTTTACACATAGTGCACATAGTGCATGTTGTACATTGAGAGAATGTGTACATGGTGCCTATCACCACCTATACAAACATCATCAGTATTTGTTTCCTTTTATAAACTAGGTTTGGATGTAGCCCTCTCTCAATAGGTTAGCATTAAATGTATATCCACAGTCACTCTGGACTTGAGAGCAACCATTGGTACCATAAGCAATAGGTTTCTTGGTGGCTTTGGACCTGAGAATTTGGACCATGTTTGTGTTTCAGTGTAGATGCTCATCAGTGTTGCCAAGTGTGGAGGGGAAGAAGTCAGGAGTAGCAAAGAGTAAATGTGAGTGTAACATCATAAGAGCTTAGGGGAATGCCTCCGCAAGCTAATGTCAAGCAATTATGTTTGTTGAAAGTTGTAAGCATTAGGCACTTCAACTCCAGGAGTGGTGACATGTTTAGGAAGATAAAAGGCTGCAAAAGGCAATAGGGGATTATAATGTTTGCTATTAATACAGTTCAGTGCTTTGGAGGACAAATTACATCCATCAGAAGAGGGTGATCAAGAGTCTCTGAAAATCTCTGCTATTTGCTGTGCAATGCCCTGCCCGCTGCAGGGCAGGGTGCCCTGGAATCATCTTCGTTTCATGTCTGCTTTGTGTCTTTTTCCCTCCCACAAGCTTTTCTTCCCCTTCATTGGCAACTTTTACACCACCTACCAGTGGTTTGCAGCAGTAACTGTGGGGACGTGCCAAAATATCAGCACACAAAAGCTGGAACACTCACGTGGAAGCCTCTTGTTTTGGTGGATGGCAACAAGTCACCCACACCAGAGCAGGAGGAGAGAGAAAGCCAGGTCTTGGCTGTTGTTCCCGCAGTCCCATGCACCATTTCCCCTTCCTGGTTCATGTGCACGTCCACTGAAGTCCATAGGCTCACAGAATGGTTTTCCAAGTTAGGACATTTGGATAGTAGGTAGAGCCCTAAAATAAGATTTGTATTAAGGTCACAAAGTCAGCATCACACAGATCATGCAGCTCCGAGATAGTTGGGGTCCTGCTCTGAGTTTTCATCGGGTGCAGTGTGGCAGCACCAGGCTGGACGGGTGTCTGATGTAGGGTCATAGGTGTGCTGACAAAGTCCATCTGCCTTTTCAAGCTGTTCAAAGTTGCCTGCTCTTGTGTGCCTTTGTTGACTGAAGGAGTGCAGGAGGTAAATGGAGACGCAGCATTAATGCCACATGGGAATCTAATCTAACTGCTCTTTCAGACCTTCGGTAACTCTAGAGTTTCTGAGCATCTCTCATGTGACAAGAAATCTGCCTTCACAGTTTGCTTGCAGGATGGTGATGTGTTACATTACATGTTGTCCAGTTTATAAATACAGGGGGAGAGACACCTTTGGCAGAAGGTCACACGAGTGATCTCTAACAATAAGTAGTTAATGCCAAGTTCACGCTTTACCATTTCCTTCCAAAGTAAATAGTAGCTTTTAGTGTGCTCTCAGGTCTGTTGCTAATTTAGACAAGCTAATTTAGATCAGGAGGTGCTGCTGCTTCATGCCCCAGTTTAGACATCCATCTCTGGCTTTCTTCTCAGCAACTGCTCTTGCCATCCATCAGAACTCACCACATGAGTGCCATGTGGTGTAATATTTGCCTGAAACACGAGAGGAGGTCTTTGGAGGAAAGCCAGGTGACATGGAGATGGAAGAGGTGACAGAGGGATGCTGTTACATGTGTACGTTTCCCATTCAGCCCTGCTAGCCATTTTCATACCTGGTTTGTGTCGGTTCAGAGCTGTGTCATGATGTGTTCGTTGGCAAGCCTTTCTCAGCTTGGCTGCTAGGATGTGGAAAGTGAGGAAGGGCAAACGGTGTCATAAAAGTGAGCATTCCCCTTGGGGACTGTCGATAATGAAACGATTTGTCTCTTTCACAGGAGAACCCGTAGCCTGTTTGTGCTGACCAGGGGCAGCTGAGCAAAGCATCATGACAAGCCACCAGGAAGGTGAGAGAACAGATGCGGCTGTGAAAGCTCCTAGGGGTACCCATGGGAATGAACCCAGCTTGCTTTTCTTGTTCAGCAATCTGACATCTGCCTCACCACCATAAGGACAGACACGAGTAACTCTGATGCTCCAGCCTTCAGACACGCTTCCAGCCTCCATTCCTTGCAATGGCTGTGTCCTTTATAATCCAAGAGGAGCTGAGCAGGAACAGTCCCAGAGAGACAATGCAGGCTGATTGTTTCTAAAGGACAAACGTTATTTAATGGAATGTATTTTTCCTTGACTTTCTAGTAAAACCCCTCAAGAAATCTTTGGTCCCGGGTGTTCTCATCACCCAGTTTGTGGATGAGGTTCCAGAGGGATGCAGTACACCTGACTTTGAGCGGAAACCTGTCTCTCTGACGTTGGAGGAAGGTGAGAGTCTTAAGTAACAGTCAAAGCCACAGGCCTGGAGACTTGACCCCGCATCTCACCTACATGAATCATTGCCGTTAAATCAAGCTCCTTTCTGACCAGATTTGACTAGACCAGAAAAGTAGTTTTGTATGGCCCAAATCTTTATTGTACTGTTGACAACTCCATCAGTACTGATAGAGGTCTCTTGAGCTTTCATTAGAGCCTGCAAGATCAGAATCTGGCTCCTAATGAATGCAGCAATCCAGAAAATCCTACAGGAAGCTCTCTAAGTATTTTGCAGCAAAAGATGAAGGACATTGAAAAAAGTTGGGGTTTTCCTGTTGAACTAGCTTGTATTATGAGTGTTCAGCACTAAAATTAACTGCTTTTTAAAGGCAGCTGTACTGCTTGCAGCTGCAAGAAGCAATATGGATCTTGCACAGAGTACAGGAAAGGCAGCATCTTAGAGCTGAGACCTAAGGCAATGGGAAGCCTCCCAGTAATGTCTTCACTTGCAGAGTAATTGAGTAATTTGGGGTTTGGTTGGGTTTTGGAGTGGAGCGGCCTGAGGAGCTCGTGTGGCTCCTCTTTCCTCACAAGACTAAACCCATCCTGGCAGCCTGGATTTCAGTGTGGGCACACCGTGCGTTGAGTTTCAAGAGCCATTGAGACGTTCTGAAGGAGCACAGTGGCCTCTAGTGGTACATCCCTCCTGCTCCACCAGCTTCCCCTCGCTCAGCCTCTCTAACGTTTCCAAGTGAGTTCATTTACAGTAGGTTCCTCGTAGTTCATATATAAGATATTAGGGAATTCAGGCACGATGAGTGTCTTTCATTATATCATCATTGCCCCATTGGGGTCAGTGCATGGCAGAGCTGACACTCCTAGCTGGGGAGCTGTCTTGGGGCATGGGGAATTGCAACCAGAATGACTAAAATTTGCCGAAGGCATAATCAGAGTTTAATAATAGTGCTGCAATCTCAGGAAAAGTCCGAAGATGCCTTTTGATAAGAATCTGCTGGCAGCAGGTTTTGCTGCATCAAGTGAGTGTTTTGGTGGTGACTGCAGAAGGGTGTGGGAAACATTGCAAGACTGCCTGGAGAGACCTTTGTGTTGGTCATCTGAAGGCCAAAACTATTGCAAAAGAAAGGTAGCAATTGTTCCCACCCTGAGCTACATCCATGGATAACTCATCTCCATTTCTATTGCCCTGTGACAGACACTCCCACTCACCTACACGAGTCACTTCTCTGGTCTGTTGGTTTATAGTGCTTCTAATGTATTTGAAGCCTTCTGGAAGGAAAGGTTTGTACTGGGCAGTGGTAAAGCTGTTGGAGATGTCTGTGGGCAGCTGCAGAATACTCAGGTTCTTAGGGGAGCAGAGAGGGAGAGAGCTCACAGGCAAACCCCATCCTCTTCTCCCTCCCTTTCCTCTTCAAACAGCAGAGCCTGGTGTGGTTGGAGTACAAAGTGGTGTGAGGCTAACAGGTGAGGAAGAAGTTGCAGAAGGATGACATGTAGGGAGTCCATCGTACCCTGCATGGGTGCTCCCAGTTGTGGTACAGTGTGGTCTGTTCAGAACATGTTTTCTTCAGTGTGCAGAAGGGGTATTTTCCTTTTTCCACCTTCTGTTAAATCCAAGCTTATCCAAATGAAAGAGAGATCAGGAGCTACAACTATTCACAGATGAACTTTACTGATGTCTAGAGATAGGGGACTCCAGCACAGCAAGTCCTTTGTTATTTAACATCCTGCCCAGCATGGTCCCAGCAAAGAGAAGGAATGGGAACTTGTAGGGAATATGTGTGTGATCAGAATGGATCTGGGCATTTCATGGCTGTGGTACAAGTAGTGCATGCAAGCTGCCAGAAGCAGGTCTAGGCTGAACTTGCTATAGCATCATTGAATTCAGAGCTGATCAGTGGATCTGTGCAGCCATGTCTTCAGGCTAAGACCACATGGTAAAGGCCTTTTATGATTGAATACAGACAAACCTGGACTTGGGCTAATAACTGCTTGCTCTTTGGCCCTGCCCAGATACTGAGGGAGATGAAAATAAGACCAAGACACCAAAGAATTGCTCTTTTGGCTGCATAACTTCCTATCTGTGTGGCTGTGCAGTAAACCCACATTAACCATGTTGTGTCAGTGGTGAATTTTAGAGATGAGTTTTCAAGTCATCTCTTTGAAAGCCAGTAAGATAGAGTGGAGATTAGGGCAGATGGCTTGCAGTGATTTTGGCATTTAATGCAACTTTAACTGGTAATTTAGGCGTCTTTTAAAGAGGAAAACAAAAAGAATTGCCTAAACCAGAGATTTCTCACTCTGGGGATCACGCCATTGATAACATAAGGGGCTTGCCATGAAAGTCTTCAGGTTCAAGCCTGTCTTAACTAGTTTCTTGCCTCTTTTCAAAGGTAAAAATGCCATCTTCAGAGCTGTGGTCAGAGGTGTCCCAACCCCTGACGTGAAATGGACGCGTACACAAGGCAGAATGGATGACCCTGCCAAATATGAAACATTCTTCAATAGCGTTACAAATGAATTCGTTCTGCAGGTAAATATCAACTATTTCAGACAGGACTCATGGAAGCAGGAGAGCAATGGAAAACCTGCAGTGGGCAATAGAGATATGACTGGAGACCTCATAGCAACCTTCCAGTGTCTGAAGGGGGCCTATAAGGATGCTGGGGAGGGACTCTTTGTTAGGGACTGTAGTGACAGGACAAGGGGTAACGGGTTCAAACTTAAACAGGGGAAGTTTAGATTGGATCTAAGGAGGAAGTTCTTTACTGTGAGGGTGGTGAGGCACTGGAATGGGTTGCCCAGGGAAGTTGTGAATGCTCCATCCCTGGCAGTGTTCAAAGCCAGGTTGGACAGAGCCTTGGGTGAGATGGTTTAGTGTGAGGTGTCCCTGCTCATGGCAGGGGGGTTGGAACTGGATGATCTTAAGGTCCTTTCCAACCCTTGATGCTCTATGATTCTATGTCACCAGATCTGAGATATCATGAAGATAAGCAAACAAAGCTCTTCAGAGTAGTTCTGGTAACAGAAGAAAGATCTGAGATGTCACTGAGTAGCTGTTAGACGTTGAGCGAGTGTGAGCTGATCCACAGCACATCCCTGTGAGCTTTCACTGTGTTCTTTTTAAGATAAACAAGCTCACTGCAAAAGACAGTGATTTGTATCGTTGCTTTGCTGTGAATGAATATGGGGAAGCTTCATGCTCTGCTGGCCTCAGGATCATACAAGGTAGGATTGACAGGTTCTGTGCTCCAAAGGTCTGTTGGGCTCAAGTACTTTTGCTGTCCTCTGTGGGTGGGTGCCCAGAGCATTGTCCAAGTATCCTTGGTGTGAAGGTCTACTTTTTCCCTCACTGAGGACTGGAGCTCCCCTGTGACTCCCCCCAGTTTGGTCACTCAATGACAGTATGAGGCAAGGGAGAAGAAAGTGGTATTATTGTCACCGCACTGGACCATAATCAGGCACTCTGGATTTAGTGTCGAAGTGGCTCAGTCCTTTCTTTACAGCATTGAATGAAGCAGTCTTTTGAGAGGGATCCATCCCACTTCAGATGCCACCTGACCTCAGTTCCCTGCTTCTCTTTATAGTCAGTGCAGTGAAACGGGCACTTTGTGGTTAAATATATCTGACCCATTCTTGTCATTGGGTTACTGCTGTTAGTCTGAATTATGGCTTGTTCTGATTTGTTCTGTTTTCAGTTGGCTTTAAGAGGAAAGCCAAATACGTCCCTGTTCATGCTGCTGATGGTAAGTTTGCTAGATTGCTCCTTTCTTTTGAGGCAGGGGGTCAAAGCTGATACTCTCTCTACCACATTATTACTGCCCCAAACTTGTAAAGTGAGAGAAGGGTTAATGGATCTTTCATGTTGTGTTGTCTCTGCTTACTGTTTACCTTTGGGAAAAGTGATGATCTTAGACATGGCTTTGAGCTGTTCTAGTTAATGATTCAGGAATCATTAGTGCTAGAAAAGGATTCTGTGATGTCAAATACATCAGGACCCAACATGTTAACACAGCTGGGAAATAGTAGGTTTCTTGAGTGTCCTCTCTAGAAAGAGAGGAATCACTAGGAAGTGATGGACTTTAATAGCATCAAAGGACATGAGGATTGCAGAGAAAACTGGCTCCAAGTTTCATGTCAAGTGTGGAAAAGTCACCAGAGGTGAACAGCATCAGTAGAATGGCCTTTGGCCAGGGGCTATTTTGCATTACCATGTTTTGGGGGATATATTTTATACTGCTGGGTATCTGAATGTTTCTTGTTCCCCCTCCTGCTGTGATAGAGTTAAAGAGGACGCTTGAGGACTCCAGGAAGCGGCTGAGGAAGCGGTAAGCCTCCCCAATGAAGGCCATAGTTACACTTCCTAAAGGTTTCTTGAGGATAGGGGACAGCTTCATAGATCTTGAAGGCAACAACACCTCTTGGTTCCGATCCCTTCATTCCGCAGGAGGGAACTCCCAAAGATTGCCTCATGGGAATGACCTCGGAGTGTGCCAGCTCCTGAACTGTGCTGGGAAATTACCTGGGAGAGAGCAAGTCAGCCTGGACCAAACAGTGCCGGTGACTGCTGCTGGTTGAACAGTGTACAGCTGCCTATATGGCCCAGGGCAAGACTGCTCCCTGGCAGCAGCTAATGTGTAGTATAGATGCAGCAAAACTGTTCTGTAACAGTCCCGTTCTTTCTTGCTTACATCTCCAGGGCCAAGTGAACTACAGAACTGACAAAGAGAGATGGAAGGGGCTTAAGTATAGAAAACCAAGACCTTTTGTTGTCTGTCAAAATGTCTAGATATATTTTTTTTCCCCTGGTTCTAAGGGCCCCAGCACCAAAACCCAAACCCTTGGATAAAGAAGCAGTTTGGCAATTGCTGCTGCATGCAGATAAGAGAGATTATGAGAAAATCTGTATCAAATATGGAATTGTTGACTTCCGTGGGATGCTGAAAAAGCTGCAGGAGCTGAGGAAGGACGCAGAGAGTGAACAAGGAGAGGTAAAATAAACTGCAACCAGAGAAGGCACTGATCTTATCAAACTAGAGTCCTATAGTTTTGTAGGAGCTTCTTTAACTAGGTTAAACCTTCCTAAATTGCTTTGTAGATGCAACTGTTGTATGACAGAGAATGCTTTCTGCCAAAGTTTTAAAGCACTCCTACTTCTCTACTCATGCAGATGAAAATGCTAACAGTTCTGAAGTTCAGCTCATAAGCTTTAGGAGTTATACTGAATGTAAGGTAATGCTAAAATCTGTGTTCGGTTGTCCCTGATGAGAATTTGGATGCCCAATTGACAAGTTACACACCTGAGAGTCAAAACTGGCTTTCATATGGAGGGACATTTAGAAACCTGGACAGTGGTTGCATAGTGTGTGAATGACCAGGAGGGAACATGCAAAATACAACTTGCCTACAGGAGAAAACTGTGGAAACTTAGAGCTGCTTCTTCCATTCACTTAGAGGTAGCTCTTTTCCATGCAGATATAAAGTAGATTTCAGATTAGTTCGATAGCTGAAGAACTTCTGTTGTGGCAACCTTCTCATTTATGAGCTTCTTGTGTCTTTCTTTGCAGCTAATACACAGTATCAAAAACTTCAAACACATCAAAGTCACCAAGGATGGAAAAGCTACGTTCAGCCTGGAGATGGACCTGAAAAGTAGAAAAAGCAAAGTCTATCTGCTTAAGGTGAGGGAGCGACATCACTTGGCCAGTTCATAGCAGCCACTGAAGTCATCTTCACCATTAAATGCTTGATCTGGGCAGTGGTTGAGAGGAAATAAACTTCTTAAAGTTGTATGTCCATTGCGGAACCCTCAGCTGGTCAGGGAGAAGTGTTGATGTGGGGGTCCAGGTGCATCTTTAGTGGTGAATATCACTTGGGATTTGTAGCCCTTCAAGTACAGGGGAAGCAGTCGGTCACTGACATCCTTTTGACTTCAAGGGCTCTTCCAGTAAAAGGAAACTCAAACAGTGTCTTTCAGGCTGCAGAAGTTCTGCAGTTTCATCTATGAAAACCAGGCCCATTTTATGCACTTTCTAGAGTGTATTCCACTAAAATTCACTTCTGTGAAAGAAGATCTCAAGGAGGTAAAACATCCCGTTGAGTTCTGTGGTTATTGCAGTGTGACACCCAGGTTGATCAGTGCTGTGGATGTTTTTCTGTTGTTAGTGGCTTTAATTGGAATCCATTGAAGAGGAGGTCAGACTAGCTCTATGAACTTCCGAATCAAATGCATGGCATGAAGTCTATGTAGCCACAATGTGGAGAAGTAACCGAAGTGGTACAGAAAGGTGGTGAGCTCACCCACCTATCTGTCTGTGAGGATGCCAAAACCTAAGCAAAGAAAGTACTTTGTCTTCAAAGTTATAGTAACTGTGTATTTCTTAAGCTTCAAAACCCCATGTGAGCTAGGATTGTTTTTTACCTAATTTGAGAGCCTGTTGCTCTGTTCCATGGAGGCCTTAATGTGCATAGCATTACCCGGGTGTTCCATAAGCAATGAGTCCACTGTGAATAGCACTAGTGTAGAATTCTGTGTTGTTATTCATTTATATCAACAAGGAGATCCCAGCACCGATTTAGCCTGGTGTGTTTGAAATACCTTGCCTTAAAGTGTATGCTCTTCTCTCTTCTAGGATGGTGAAAGGCTCAGGTATGAAACGAGTAATGAATATGGGAAGCACTGCCTGAGGCAAATTGGGAAAAAGTACATATTCATTGTCAACGATGTGCAGCAGGAAGATGCAGGATTGTATCAAGTCCGAGTGGAGGATGTGCCTGTTTTCTCAACTGAACTGGACCCTGACTGTAAGGAACTGAGTTACATGTATGGGAGGTGCAACTGCAACAAGAAAGTAGTTCTTGCTGGAAGTTTTTTACTAGGAGTAGATGCAAAGCTCAGCAGTGAAACCCAGTAACTACAGAACATGGGGTTTGGTGGCCACATAAGGGCTCCTCAGATGACACAGGTGAAAAAGAGCAGGGGGGTGATCGTGTGATTTGGGCATTGCATTTGTAGTCCAAAGGACTAGGTTCAAGTACCGGTTTGGCTCTGACTTTTAGATGACAGTGAGGAACCTCCTTATCTTATCCCATGCTGTAGTTCCCTTTTGTAAGCTCAGAATAATAACTACTATGAACTCGATGCAAGTATCATGCTGCTGAAATACATTAATGACTACAAATCCTCAGCACATCACAGTGATGTGGGGTATAAATGCCTCAGAAGATAACAAAGACAAAAAAATCTGCTCTTCTGGCTGGTAAAAATGGGCACAGGAGCACATCTCAGTCTTTGCTTTTTCTGCTTAAACCTGTGCTCACAAGCATGGCACGTTCCCATCTGTCTGCCTGCCTTTAGCTGCAACAAGTTTTTCTTGGAAGACAAATAGCTGTTTCCTTTCTGTAGCATTTGATTTTCCATTGCAGCCATCCCTGTGGGATTTGAGCAGCCACTCAGCAATATGAGTTGCCCTGAGAATGAAGATGCCGTCTTCAAGTGTGTCCTACGCACCCCTTGCCATGATGCTGTGTGGTTGCACAAAACCAACGTCCTGGAGGCAAGTGAGAAGCACCAGATCTCTGTAAGTCCTGATGGGCTGACCCACCAGCTGACTATCAAAAACGCTGTGCCCTCTGACAACGGCATGTACACCATCGACACTGGACTTTCCTCCTCAAATGCCTGGCTTATTGTAGAGCGTAAGTGCCACTGTGTTATTCCCATGGTGTTGGCTTGGGTGTGTTAACAAAATAGCATTCCACTCACTGCCTGGTTGCTCATTGGGATGATTCTATGCTGAGAACTGAATTGCAGAGCATCTGTTTTCCAAGTTACACCTGGAAAATGAAGGTCTGGATAGACCATCTTTCCTCTTCAGATAAGGCACATTTTTCCTGTTTTATTAATCCTGACAAATCCCATCAGCTTATTTACAGCTACTATGTAGTTATATGTTCTCCATCAGTTATTAAAAAAACCTCCATAGCTCAACATATGCTTTTGCTGAAGCTGTCCCTGTGTGAACACAGCACAGCATGCAGGGGATAAAGCAGCCTTAGGTACTATCAATTCTGTACTATCAACACTATTCAATACTAACTTGTCAGGTAGTCATTTCTTTCCATACTAGAGGTTAAACAGGTTAGAAGCAGCTCAAAGGAAGATGGGAAACACTCGGTGTATTTTTTGCTTCTGAAAGGTGGTTGCTTTGGTTGCTTTTGAGATCCTGCTTTCTAAAAAGTCTTTCCTAAAGTGGGAACTGATGGCCCGTCTGTGGGCTAGTCTGTAACCCCTCCAGGGCTGGAGGGAGATGGCAAAAGGAACTAATGGGTCCCAGCTACAATCTAAGCCCCTCTGAAGTAGACCTGTTGTGCTGGAAATGTGCCTTGGTTTAATCCTCTTTTTGCTTGCTTGGGTTTCTTTAACAAGCACATTTCCACTCACCGTGATTGTGTCTTCAACTGAGAAGTGGCAGATTAGGTGTGAATGTGACACTGAAAAGAATCAGGACTTGAACTGAAATGTATTTGTCATGTCCCAGAATGGAACTATAACAAACGCTGCCACATTCTTCTTGTATTGATGCAGTACATGACTTATTCATTGTCCTCTTTTTCTTTTCCCCCCTCTCTTTTCCTGTAAATTCTATCTCCTCCAATCAAACCATGCATCTTCAATACAGATGCCAAAGGAAAGGGGAGACCAGGTGAAGCAGAAGAAAGCTCTGAGTGGCTGGAAGAAACATTGCCAAAGAGAGACTGGGCAAAGAAACTTCGACAGGGAGAATCTATTGGTGATGGAGATCATCTTATGGACACTGAGGAGGAAAAAGATGGCTGGTACAGAAATGGTCAAGGAGGAAGCCAAGGCCACTCTGTTGATGCTGATGGAAGCCATAGATTTTTGGGAAAGGATGGGCTACGCAGAGCCAACAGAAATGAAAGTATGGGGGGTGGGCAGTTTTCTGAAGCAGATCTAGATGGATACACCATGACAAGTGATGGGAGTATTTTGGGATTGAAAGGCTTTGGAGGCAAAAGTGGATTAAGGCCTTTCCAAGGCAAGGATTCTATGGCAGGCAGAGAAGATACTGGTGATGAATCGGGAGCAGTAGGTGAATGGAATTCTGTGGATGGCAGAGGTGGTGTTATCCTACGTAGTGCTAACGTTGGCATGGCTGATGGAGAAGGTGTGGGTTTTCAGCATGACAAGGATGGTAAATTAGGTGATAGTAGTTACAGAGCTGGCTTTGGGGGTGTTGGGAGATCAGGTGCTGCTGGTGGAAGTTCTGAGGTAGATGGACTTGATCCTGATTCAACCGGAGTGGGAAATGGTAAGGATGGCTCCTTCAGAAGGACTAGTCCGTGGACTGGAGCTAGAAAGAATGCTGCAGGCGCTGAGACTGCAGGAGGAATGAGGTCCCCCTATGGCAAGGATGGTCTGCCAACTGTAGTTGATAGGGATGGAGCAAGCATAAACACAGAAGGACAAATAGGGATCCCGTATGGTGAAGATGGCCTGGCACTTCATGCTAGAGGTCACTTAGGTCAGACAGGAAGGTCTGGCTTGCTGTATGGTCCAGGTGGAACTCCAGTTGGAGTTAAGGCTACATCTGGTGCAGGTGGCAGTTCTATAGGGGAAATGGAGGCTTTGTATGGTCCAGATGGCTGGCCACTTAGACAAGGTGCTGGTGTAGCTGGTGCAGGAGGAGCTGGATCTCAATATGGAAAGGATGGTCTCCCAGTTGGACCGGGATTCGGTGATGCTGGTGTACCTGGTGCAACGGGTGCAGGAGGAGTTGGATCTCCATATGGAAAGGATGGTCTCCCAGTTGGAGCTGGCATAGCTGGTGCAGGGGGAGTTGGATCTCCATACGGAAAGGATGGTCTCCCAGTTGGAGCTGGCCTTGGTGGTGCTGGTGTAGCTGGTGCAGGGGGAGTTGGATCTCCATATGGGAAGGATGGTCTCCCAGCTGGAGCTGGATTTGGTGGCGCTGGTGTGGGTGGTGCAAAAGGACCTGGGTCTCCCTATGGAAGGGATGGTCTCCCAGTTGGAGCTGCCATAGGTGCTGCTGGTGTAGGTGGTGCAGGGGGAGTTGGGTCACCATATGGGAAGGATGGTCTCCCAGTTGGAGCTGACCTTGGTGTTGCTGGTGTAGGTGGTGCAGGAGGAGTTGGATCTCCATATGGAAAGGATGGTCTCCCAGTTGGAGCTGGATTTGGTGGTGCTGGTGTAGGTGGTGCAGGAGGAGTTGGATCTCCATATGGAAAGGATGGTCTCCCAGTTGGAGCTGGCGTAGCTGGTGCAGGGGGAGTTGGATCTCCATATGGAAAGGATGGTGTCCCAGTTGGAGCTGGCTTTTATGCTGCTGGTGTAGGTGGTGCAGGAGGAGTTGGATCTCCATATGGAAAGGATGGTCTCCCAGTTGGAGCTGGCATAGCTGGTGCTGGTGTAGGTGGTGCAGGAGGAGTTGGGTCTCCATATGGAAAGGATGGTCTCCCAGTTGGAGCTGGATTTGGTGGTGCTGGTGTAGGTGGTGCAGGGGGAGTTGGGTCTCCATATGGAAAGGATGGTCTCCCAGTTGGAGCTGGCATAGGTGCTGTTGGTGTAGGTGGTGCAGGGGGAGTTGGGTCACCATATGGGAAGGATGGTCTCCCAGTTGGAGCTGGCATAGGTGGTGCAGGTGTAGCTGGTGCAGGAGGAGTTGGGTCTCCATATGGAAAGGATGGTCTCCCAGTTGGAGCAGGCATAGGTGGTGTAGCTGGTGCAGGGGGACTTGGATCTCCATATGGAAGGGATGGTCTCCCAGTTGGACCGGGATTTGGTGGTGCTGGTGTAGCTGGTGCAGGAGGACCTGGGTCTCCCTATGGAAGGGATGGTTTCCCCGTTGGAGCTGGCTTTGGTGGTGCTGGTGCAGGTGGTGCAGGGGGAGTTGGATCTCCATATGGGAAGGATGGTCTCCCCATTGGAGCTGCCATAGGTGGTGTTGGTGTACCTGGTGCAGGAGGAGTTGCGTCTTCATATGGAAAGGATGGTCTCCCAGTTGGAGCTGGATTTGGTGGTGCTGGTGCAAGTGGTGCAGGAGGACCTGGGTCTCCCTATGGAAGGGATAGTCTCCCAGTTGGAGCTGCCATAGGTGCTGCTGGTGTAGGTGGTGCAGGGGGAGTTGGGTCACCATATGGGAAGGATGGTCTCCCAGTTGGAGCTGACCTTGGTGCTGCTGGTGTAGCTGGTGCAGGAGGAGTTGGATCTCCATATGGAAAGGATGGTCTCCCAGTTGGAGCTGGCATAGGTGGTGCTGGTATAGCTGGTGCAGGGGGTGTTGGATCTCCATATGGAAAGGATGGTCTCCCAGTTGGAGCTGGATTTGGTGGTGCTGGTGTAGGTGGTGCAGGAGGAGTTGGATCTCCATATGGAAAGGATGGTCTCCCAGTTGGAGCTGGCGTAGCTGGTGCAGGGGGAGTTGGATCTCCATATGGAAAGGATGGTGTCCCAGTTGGAGCTGGCTTTGATGCTGCTGGTGTAGGTGGTGCAGGAGGAGTTGGGTCTCCATATGGAAAGGATGGTCTCCCAGCTGGAGCTGGCCTTGGTGGTGCTGGTGTAGGTGGTGCAGGGGGAGCTGGATCTCCATATGGAAAGGATGGTCTCCCAGTTGGAGCTGGGTTTGGTGGTGCTGGTGTAGGTGGTGCAGGAGGAGTTGGATCTCCATATGGAAAGGATGGTCTCCCAGTTGGAGCTGGCGTAGCTGGTGCAGGGGGAGTTGGATCTCCATATGGAAAGGATGGTGTCCCAGTTGGAGCTGGCATAGCTGGTGCTGGTGTAGGTGGTGCAGGGGGAGCTGGATCTCCATATGGAAATGATGGTCTCCCAGTTGGAGCTGGCCTTAGTGGTGCTGGTGTAGCTGGCGCTGGATTTGGTGGTGCTGGTGCTGCTGGTGCAGGGGGAGTTGGATCTCCATATGGAAAGGATGGTCTCCCAGCTGGAGCTGGATTTGGTGGTGCTGGTGTAGGTGGTGCAGGAGGAGTTGGATCTCCATATGGAAAGGATGGTCTCCCAGTTGGAGCTGGTGTAGCTGGTGCAGGGGGAGTTGGGTCTCCATATGGAAAGGATGGTCTCTCAGTTGGAGCTGGCCTTGGTGGTGCTGGTGTAGGTGGTGCAGGGGGTGTTGGATCTCCATATGGGAAGGATGGTCTCCCAGCTGGAGCTGGCATAGCTGGTGTTGGTGTAGGTGGTGCAGGGGGAGTTGGGTCTCCATATGGAAAGGATGGTCTCCCAGTTGGAGCTGGCATAGCTGGTGCTGGTGTAGGTGGTGCAGGGGGTGTTGGATCTCCATATGGGAAGGATGGTCTCCCAGTTGGAGCTGGCCTTGGTGCTGCTGGTGCAGGGGGAGTTGGATCTCCATATGGAAAGGATGGTCTCCCAGTTGGTGCTGGCATAGCTGGTTCTGGTGCAGGTGGTGCAGGGGGAGTTGGGTCCCCATATGGAAAGGATGGTCTCCCAGTTGAAGCTGGCTTTGGTGGTGCTGTAGCTGGTGGAGGGGTAGTAGGATCTCCATATGGAAAGGCTGGTGTCCCACGTGGGGGTGCGGCAGGCTCTGGTGGTTTTCATTTGGGAGGTGCAGAAGTAATGGGGTCTCACCATGGCAGGGATTCTGTGCCTAGCAGAGCTGCAGGTTATGCAGGTGGAGCAGGAAATGTCTTTTCCTCAGAACTTGGTGGTGTAGGTAGATCTGCAATGAGGGATACTGCGTCTCCCTATGGCAAGGACAGTGTGTCAGCTGGAGCCAGGGCTGGTGTGGATGGCATTGGGAGTTTGAGAGGTGATGAGAAGGGGTTACGTTCTGGAGGTGGTAAGGAAGATGTGATAGGTGCCGATGGACGAGGGGGTAAATATGGGCTGGATTCACGTCCTGGCAAGTCTTCTACTGGACGTGAAACCGGAAAGGGCACTGCCAGTGATTTCAGATCAGGGAGTAAAGGTTCATCTGATGACAGAAGTTCACTTTCACGTGAAGGAGCTGCCAGGGGTGGAGGCAGAGATCTAGGGCAGTTACGGTCCCTTCATGGCGCTAAATCTGCCTTTGGAGGGGCAGCGAGTAAATCCCTTAACAGATTTGTTGGTGGGAGGAGTTCAGGTAGGTTTGGTCAAGGTTCATTGGATTATGGTCAGATGTCAGCTCGTTATGGTGGACTTCCTTCGATAAACCAGCGGAAAGAGGAACCCAGCCTTGATTTTAAAACAAATGATTTCTTGAAGAACATAGAAAGTGTGGAAAAAAGGCGACATTATTGCCTTGATGATCTGAAAGGTATGTGTCGAATCCATGGCTTCTGTCCTCCTGGGCTTTGCATGTTGATCCTCACATCCCTAATCCTGGAGAGAAATGGGATCTTATGCTTTAGAGAACTGCAGCTATATGTCACAATTTGGTTGTACTATGATCTGTTCCTAATTCTACCACTGATTTGCTGTTGGACCTCACACAATTTGCTCAGCTTGCACTCCTTAAAAGTCGAAATTCTCTTTGTTTAAATTATCTAAACCAGGTATCATCTGTTCAATCAAATATGTGATTCAGATCCACATGGAGCAGACTTGAGTTCACAGACATATTAATTCCCATAGTGTTTCAAGGAATATGGCCATGTTTCTTTGATGTTTTTCCAATTTAAAACTTACTGTATCACTTTATTTGTCCTAAGATCTAGTGTAGATATCTTTTCTTCCAAGTTCTGGGAACAAATCTGTGCCTGCATATAATGGATCAATAGACTCATTGGGCCTGATTTAAAGTGCTCTTTTCTCTTGTAACATTAGAAGTAATAAGGTGTTGCATATAGTAGAAGGAGAGTAAAGTGTATGCAGCCATTTGACTGAGACCAATGGCTACACTGGCAAGATGATACTGTGAAAATACCTTCCACTAGACAGGTTGCTCAAGGCCCCATCCAACCTGGTCTTGAACGCTTCCAGGGATGGGGCATACATATAAATAAGGAAGAAAATCAATGGAACTGGAGTTAATAGGGAAGGAGGTGGGGTGTTTATTAGAAAGGGGATGAGGGTGTTAATGGAGAGCAGGGGAAAGAGGGGGTAGAGTTAGTGACACTTGGGGCTGTTTAGGAGGAAGTGGTTGGGCAGTCCTATATCTGCTCAATGCAGAGAAAAGAGTATTCTGCAGTAGCCCAGTTTTCCCAATGGCTCCCATACAGGGAGCCAGGAAAATCAGCAGAGACTTAAAATAGTGAATCTGTAGATAGATGATGCAATCTGTGGCGAATCCATTCCCCATGAGGTTGATGTTGGGGCTATATTGTATGCCAGCCAGTTGGCATGTCCCCTCAGTGCAATGCGTTCATGCCAGCTGGCCCAAAGCCTCGTGGTACAAGAACCTGACATGACTACAGTATATATAGCCCCAAAAGCTCTCTGTTTTCCTCCTGTGCACATGCATTTTCATCTATACATTTCTTTATCAGTGTTAACGCAGAGTTAGTATCTTCTCAACATCTTCCTTTCTGAATGTTCAGCACCACGCTGTCATGTCAACAAACAGCTACTGAATGTCAGAGTCCTGAAAGGGGAACCAGCTGAGCTGTCTTGCACTGTCAGTAAAGATGGAGTGACAGGAACCTGGTTTAAAGATGGATTGAAGGTGGGTATCTTCTAAGTGCTGTATTCTTTGATGAGCTCTGCTCTCTGGCTCTACCTCTTAGGTGGTGCGTCAAAGTGTCCTTCCCTCTACCAGTCTTACTCTAGTCTGAATACAGCCCTGGAAAGATTCTACAGGAACCTGTTGATAATGAAATTCTTGATAGAAATCCAGCAAGGTTTCTCCCTTTTACTGCTGCAAACCAGTTTCATTCTTGCTGACCATAGGAGCCTTTGTGTTTGCCATTCATTTTCACAGGTGGAGATGGTGTGGGGCACTTCCTTGCCATGCAATTCTTTACTTTTGGTGAATGAGAGAAATGTGCAAAGAGCAAGGGGGAAATCTTCAAAGGATACTTCAGAGGGGTGTAAAGCAAAGAATGGTCTTTCAAATCAGTGCTTAAGGTCAAACGTAGGCATCCTATTCTAGGTTCCAACACACCACTGAATAGTAATTCCTGCTGTGGGATACAGTCGTACTCGAACATGGACCCAAGTTTTTGTCATTAAGAATAGAAATAGAGAGCTTGGACATTGTACTAAAATGTTCTTTTAATGGACTTTAAATCAAGCCTTTGTGGTGAATATGTTGATGATGTTTCTGCAACATTACTGGATGAGTAACCTCAGAATATTACTGTAATTAAACATGTGTCATTCCTAAGCCTTTTCAGTTACATCTCAATTTCTTGTGTTTTGCTTTCTGTGCTTCACCTCGTAGTTAACCAGCATGGAGGGAGTCTGCTTTAAAAAGGAAGGTCTAGTCCACAAACTGGTTATTGACAAAGTGGAAGATATTCACGCTGGGAAGTACAGGTTTGAAAGTGGAGATATAAAAACCGAAGCTTCAATTTTTGTTGAAGGTGAGTCTACTCAAACTGCCAATGCAGCGTGCTGGGCTTGATGGGCTTTAAACAGAACACTTCTTCTCAGAGACCTATTGCTGGTTATTGAGAACTTTATTATAAAGAATAACTATGTAAATGGGAGATGGTTTTCATACAGGTTAGTGCCTTTTGTCTTTACAGATTTAAGTAGGGAGCTTTCCTGAATAGCTTCTATTACCTCAGAGATTTTTGGGTGCACTAATGCTTTAACAGGCGAGATTCCTCATTCATGTGTTCAGTCTATTTCCTATGAGAGATTTGCTCCCATGAAAAGGATGGTGTGATACCAAATATACCTTATGATGATCATCTCCTAGCAAAGTACATGAATATATATGAAGCACTGAGTGTGCAACTAAAGGTGAAGGTACAAATATGAGCTTCTAAGCGTTATTTGCAGCATCAAGAGGGAAGCCCTTCCCTCCAAGGTAAGCCTTATCCTCTTTGAGTTGCAGATTTTAATGACCTTGTATGGCCTGCTTAGATCCTCCACAGGTTGACAAAGTGCTCCTCAAAAACTTAACGAGTGTTCCTACTGTGGCCAAGGCAGGGCAGAACGTAACCATCAAGATCCCTTTTGAGGGCCGGCTGCCAATCAGAGCAGCTTGGCTGAAGGACAAGATGGAGCTAGCAGATGACACAAGGATCCGTGTTGATAAAACAGACACCTTTACCAAGCTGTCCATCTCCAGCTGCGAGAGAAAGGACGCTGGGGATTACAAAGTCAGGCTGAAGAATGACAGTGGGGTCCTGGAGATCAACTTAAAACTTGTGGTATTTGGTAAGAGCCCCCTAACATCCACTGTGGTTTCCATGGTAAAGCTGAGGCAGGAAATCCATTAACACTGGTAACAATCTTATTTAGAGTTACCAGGTATTCCAAGATGAATTTCTCATCAAACCAGAGTACAAGCCAAGATTGCTGATGTTTTTCTTAGTCCGAGGTGACACGGATCTGGTTTGGTTTTGCATAGCATCAGCAGGTGGGTTTTGAATGTTGGGCAGCTGTGGGAGATGGGACTATGTGCAAGAGGCAAATCTAAAATAGATGATCAAGGCCAAATTCAGCCCTACCATAAATGTCTGAGCTCTTTTGGAAGACCAGAAATGGTGCTCTTCCTTTATAAGCAGGCTGAATTGGTGCAGTGCTTATGAGAGTAATGAGAGCAATGAGAGCATGGAGGAAGGGCCTGGCTTCCACCCAGTTGCTGAGCAGGAGGCAGCTCATTGACTCTGTGTTCATCTTTTCAGACAAGCCCCAACCACCTACAGGGCCCATCAAAATCGTGGAGAGCTCTGCAAACGACATCACCATTCAGTGGAAGCCCCCAAAGGATGATGGGGGCAAACCAGTGCAAAACTACATCATTGAGAGACAGCAGGTGGGCAAGGACGAGTGGGTGACTTTGGGAGAAAGCCCCAGGAGCTGCACCACCTTCACTACCAACAAAGTGGAGCAAGACATGAGCTACTACTTCAGGGTGAGAGCTGTGAATGCCGAGGGCACCAGCGATGCACTGGAATCGGAGGAAGTGAAGGCTGTCAGTAAGGGTAAGGAAGAACTTTCTGTAACAGTGTTCAACAACCATCTGGAAAATTCATTGTCAAAGATGACATCAAGGGAATCTCACTGCATTTCAGATGTTGCTACAGACCTAAACTTGAATTGCAGCTCTGAAGTCTGTGGAGATTGCACATCAGGACTAGAAGTTTTCTGCAGGCTTTGGTGATGCTGAGCGGGGTGGTGTTAGGTTCTCAGTTCTGCTCCATTCTGAACTGGGAAGTGAGTTTCATAGGGGAAATGCAACACTGCATGAAGATCCAAGAATGTTTTTCCCAGGGTGGCTACACAGGGAATATGTGAGGCCTTTTCTTAACTCCATAGGCCAAGGAATGTCTCCCTTTTGTGCAGCAGTTTTCAGCATGATGACTTCCTTCCCCTGATTTCCAAACATCTAATTCTATTCTTTGTCGTAGAATCATAGAATAGTTAGGGTTGGAAAGGACCTTAAGATCACCTAGTTCTAACCCCTCTGCCATGGGCAGGGATACCTCACACTAAACCATCTCACCCAAGGCTTTGTCCAACCTTGTCCTTCCATGAGTTTAAATACTAGACCACTTTTGCCATGAGCATGAATGTAGTACTGGAGAGAAAGCAATGCTCTGATTCTGATTTTCATCGTTCTACATTCTTCTCATGATCATGAGAAGACCTGCATTTTGAATGCGTTAGCAGAGAGCTAAGAAAAGCTATTCTGTTTCTGGTTTTTACCATTAAAAGCAGGAATGATGCTGTCTTTATCTTACCATGTAAGAATGATATTCCTCACTCTGTAGGCTGACAGTGGAATTGTCACTTGTGATGGCAGCAGGTCATTAATGAAAACAAAATTGAGGAACACAGGTCCATGTTGAATTCTCTTTGTGTGGGGGATAGGATCCACGACCTCAGGTCTCAGTCAGGCTTTTAAAACACATCCGCATGAATACCTTGGGGCAATCAGAATGAGAAATGCCATAGGGCACTTTGTCATCTTGCAATGAAAACGTAGCTGTAATAACGAAACATTGACCTCTTTCTAGCTACACCTGGTGCCCCAGATCCCCCTGAGGTTGTCAGTGCCAGCAGAGACGCCATCACAATATCCTGGAAAGCACCTCAGAAAAGCGGCAGTTCCCGAATTGTGGGGTATCTCGTTCAGAAGCGCAAGAAGGGTACCATGACCTGGCTGCCAGTCAACAGCGTGCCTATAGCAGGTGGGTTGCTTAAATCCTGGAGCAGACTGGAGGACCTGGAGAAGGTAAAAAGGTCAGCTGGGTTCTGGAGCTGCTGAGGATCTTACACCTTCTCACACCAGTGTTTCCCCTCTAATTCCTGAGCTGCTGCCTGTCCCCATCGCAACCACGTTCCTCCTGTATGAAGTTTTACCTTCTTCTCTTTCATAGGGTGTATGTTTTCCCACAACTACATTCTTCTCACAACTAAGGTTTCACAGCTGTACCACAGCAAATCCAGCTCTTGGGTTTATATACAGCCGAATGCCTGGGATTAGAAGGATTATGATCTCCAGCATATGGCTGGAGAGGAGTGCAGACAAGCTCACTGCTGCATCCTCTATAAACAAACTGATGTCTTCAGTTTCTGGAGCTAAAGTCTTCATTCCATGTGCAGAACTACTGTCCCTAGTCCTTGCACTAGGACCTTGGCAGACAGGAATTTATAAGTGCAAGGACTATGTAAATACAATATACAAATGCAACGAATATATAAATGCAAGTAAGTGGTGTTTTGGTTGTAGCTAGCATTATCTACCAGGTGAAAGCTAGGACTTCTTATCTGGTATAGAAGAGTTTAGGATTATCCCATGAGGAAAAACAGTATTTATCCTTTTTTCAAACTTAATAACTCTCAAGTGCTGTTTGATTTGAAAGGAAATACAATGAACACGCTCCAGAAGCATGCACTTGGAGAGGGAAGGGCAGGGGAATCAGTGACAGCATCTATATGTGACTCCTGATGGCATACATCTGAGCCAACACTCTCCTTTTCATTCTGCAGACAAGAAGCTGGAGATGACCAATCTCAAGAAAGGTCTGCAGTATGAGTTCCGCGTGGCAGCTGTCAATGCTGCAGGCACAGGAGATGCCAGTGAACCGTCAAAGCCTGTTTTTGCACGGGATTCCACAAGTAAGTGCACTGCCCCCCATCCTTCTGGCTTGGAATTGGTACATCTGAATGCAGACTGGTGATGTTAGTGGAGAGAGGATGGCTTCAAGTGCTTGGTAAAGGTATGTGAAGATCAAATAATTGGGAACATTTCATGGCAATGGATAGAATCCATTGTCAGCATGAGGAAGGAATGGCAGGATTTCCTGTGCTATGTCTTAGTCAAGATGTGGCAGACTCCATGTATGGGGGAGATGTACAGTGTGGAGAAGTATTCAGGATGGGCCGCAGACTGTTTCAGGGTTGATATCCAGTACGCTTCAAGTATGTAACCTGCTTTAAGTGGCCCTGCCTTGGCAGGGGAGTTGGACTAGATGATCTCCAGAGGTCCCTTCCAACCCTAATGATTCTGTGATCCTGTAATGTTGGGGAATCTCAGGAAGTGACTGAAGAAAAGGGGACAAAATTCCTAAAAAAATAACTTAAATAAAATTTCTCTTTTCAGAATCTCTAGGTCAAGTGCAGGACCTTCACGTGAGCAGCAGTGACAGCTCTAGTATCACCTTGACATGGAAGAGACCTGAAACGAATGATGGGAGTGATGTGAAGGGCTATGAAGTGGAAGTGCGGTCTTCTAACAACCTCAACTGGACCAAATGCAATGTTCTTCCCATAGAGACAACCACTTACACAGTCAAAGGCCTCCAAGCCAAGGAGATATACTTCCTGCGTGTGAGAGCCCTCAATGACAGTGGCCCAGGAGAAGCTGCAGAGCTTGAAGCTCTCCTTGGCCCTGCTCCCCCCGTCGGTAAGTCAAAGTGGGCTTTCAGAATGAGCAAGGTCATTCTATAGGCAACAGCATGCAGGCAAGGTCTGTAGGTCACTGACAAGCTTCTTTTAAGTCCCAGGCAGAAGGACAAGTACTGCATTGCTCCTCTACAGGATGGTCTTGTTTGGTCACATCATGAGGAAATTGAAGATAACTGATAATAAATGTGCAATGCACAGTGCTCAGCTCCTGTTAAAGATTCATTATGACAAAACCCCCTCCAAAACTGCTTTTTCTCCTCTTTTCTTTCCAACTAGCTGTTGGGGAAGGCATTAGGAGCATATCAAACACAGGTGTGTGACTGTCAGCTGGAGACTGTAGTAATAATGTACAACTTTTCATTGCAATCACTGTCTTTTCCAGTTCCTCCAAGGTTACTAATAGATGACACAGTGAAAAGCTTCCTGGTTATAAAAGCAGGAAATACCATCCGAGTGAATATTCCCTTTGAAGTAAGTATTCAAACGTGTTAGTAAGAATTCCCCACCTGTTTTTATGTTGTACTCAATACCAGGCAGGAAAACTGAGCTTTCTTGGGGTGGAATTTTATTTACTAGACACTGAGCAGATTCTTTAAGCTGCATGTGCTGTGTATGCTCTCTGCATGTGGAAAACATGAGCAAGAATTCAGCTGTCACTCTTAGCATCAGTGCTATAAGAGATTAGGGTGACTCTTTAACCTCTGCAGATGGCACAGTGCTGGCCATCCAACCATCTCAATATTAGCATCATCTGGTACTCATCTGTCATACTTAGTTTAAAAATCAGTTCTTTCCCTCTGCCTCCCTCAGAAGACCTTGAGGTAACGTTTCTAGCCACATCTTAACTGTGTTTGTAATACTAAGCAGCAGGACTTCAGCTGTATGACTTGAGGAATGGATGCACTGAAATCCTGTCTGCTTAGACACGAGCTTGGAGTAACACAGATAAAGTCTGGGATATCCAAAAGAGGAGAGACCAAAGATGGCATAATGGAAACAAAGACTTTGAGGATGTTTCTTCTTTTCAAAGCCAGCAGTAGAAAATATTAACTCCTGATGTCAGCTGCTTGTCCTGATGTCGCACACCTTGTTTGACATGGTTAACCTGGACAACTTATTCCAATAACAGTCTTAAAAGACACAGAGAAAGAGTTGCAAAGAAACTTTACAGCAGCCCTTTCTTTAGATCTCTTGCGTCCATCTTGCATCCATATTTCTAAATAGTACCTTAGGAAAATCACCATCCCTGGAAGTGTTCAAAAACTGAATAGACAAGGCCATCAGCAATATGGTTTAGTGATGGTCTTGGCCGTGGTGGAGTAATGGTTGGCCTTGATGATCTCAAAGGTCTTTTCCAACCTAATTGATTCTATGAGTCTATGTAGGTACACATTTTTGCAGGTATACTTTGAGCAACCTGCTCTAGTGAAAGGTGTCCCTGCCCGTGACAAGGGTTTTGGGACTAGATGAGTTTTAAGGTCCCTTCCAACCCAAACCAGTCTGGGATTCTATGATATGGGACAGGACAATGAAACTAAAGAATTAAAGCTGCAATCTGGAGGCAAAACAAGTGGGCCATAACTTGTGCTTTTCTTTACAGGGGTCTCCAGACCCAGTGGTGACCTGGTTAAAGGATGGGCATCCTCTTCCAAGCCAGGCTACAATAAAAACCAAAGATGATACCACGCAGCTGCTGATTGGAGCAGCTGAGTTCACTGACAGCGGCACCTACACCGTTGAGCTCCAGAATGGGTTAGGGAAAAGAGAAACATTCAGCTTCCAAGTTCAAGTTACAGGTGACTCCCTCACTACCAGATATCCATGTAGATTTACTGCAGGTAGACCACAAACTGAGTTGATCGTGGTGAGCACGGGTGCAATTCAGTGCAGTTTTCCATGCGATTGGGTGGTGTCTGCAGGACAGAGTAATCCAGTGGTTAAAATGACACCTGGTTTCCCAAGTGACTTTGCTTAAATAGGGGAGTGCAAAACACAGGAGAGCAGATCATACCCGTGGTAACAGTCTACGGTTAGGCAGCAGCAGGCTGTAGGACATTTAGTCATAGCTACTACATCTCTATACGCTGTCTCACCAGGAGGTGAAAACATTCAGCTGTACCACCCTCATCTCCTCCCTATAAGAAGGGAAGAGCCAAGCAATGCAGATGTAACGTGGCAGAAGTGCAGTTAATAGCTAATGAGTTGGTGTGACTGGCGAAGGAATCAAATCTTGTCCTTTCTAATGGCCAGGCTGTTTACTCAGCCCCCAGAACTAGAACATACTCCAAGTTTTTAGGGTTCTATACTGTGCCACTTTCCCTACATCTTTGATACTATTTGCCTTCATCTGACAGATATCCCGCAATCGCCTGGACCTATTCAACTGCAAGAGAATGTGCCAAACACAGTGACAGTCACCTGGGAGCCATCAGCATCCGAAAAATGGGAGAGAGATCTCTACTACACAGTCCTGAAACGTGAATCACAGAAGGGCACATGGCGTGTGGTGGGCGACCTGATCTACACCAACAAGTTCACGTTCACCCGCCTGATCCCAGGCCGGGACTACTACTTCAGAGTTGTGGCAAAAAACAACTTGGGAACCAGTGGTCCATCTGAAACTTTGCAGCCTTGGCGAATCCGGAAACCAAAGGGTAAATCAGCTTTTACAGGTGTTTGTGTGTGCTGTCCTGCTTTGTTTTGTGTATTGTTTCTAACACACCATCCTGAAATGGGGGTGGTCGCCTGGGAATGTTTAGTTGCCTAGAGAATGCACAGGGATACCCTAAGACCTTCCAGTGGGGCAGGGAAGGAAGTGTCATGACTGAAAGTCAGTCCTTTAACCGCTGCTTTCTCTTGCTGTGGAGCGGTATCTGAGCCATGCTGCTTGTCATTTACAGCTGAGTTTCACATCAAACCCCAGAAGTACAAGGGAGTTAATCAAAACCAGCCCCCAAGGTTCCTTGTCCCGTTGAAGCCTCACGTGGTGACCACCGGCAGCGAGTGCCACATGAGCTGTGCGGTTGGAGGCCATCCAGCTCCAAAGATCAGCTGGTACAAGGACAGTAGAGACCTCTCCACTGATCCCACCTATTTTTGCACGAACGACTTTGGAGTCTGCTCCCTGGTCATCCTGGGTGTCACGAAACAGGATGAAGGAGAATATATGGTAGAAGCCACCAACGAATCGGGCCGTGCGTTCAGCAAAGCCTTCCTCACTATTAAAGGTAACTACAATCCTTAATGCTCCTCTTCCTGCATGTCAAGATACATCACTGCTGTTAAGATGCCTTAAAATTGTAGCCATGCAGCTTTATTTACTGGCAAGAGCAATTTCCCATAAGGCAGTGGATATTTGGACTGCTTCATTGAATTTTTAATTATCTTACTAGACATCAACTATGAAATAGAAATGAAAAGGCAGGCATGAGAAAAGCTCTTGATTCCTACATGATCCAGGAATTTTGTTTTTCTTTTAGAAAAAAATATCCCACCTTCATTTATTAAGATAATGTCTGAGGTTTCTATAGTGCAGGAGCTGCAGAGCAGAAGGTCCTGCAAGATGTGCAAGGTTGGGTGAAGCAGTGAGGAAAGAGCTGGTGTTATGTGGCCAAAGGGAATGAGAAAGGAGGAAAGAGAGGGATGAGGTGTAAGTTAAATAGGGCCATCCAGATGTGAGTAGAGAATCAGTGTGTTTGACTGAGGATAGGACTGATCATAGAATCATAGAATAGTAAGGGTTGGAAAGGACCTTAAGATCATCCAGTTCCAACCCCCCTGCCATGGGCAGGGACACCTCACACTAAACCATCTCACCCAAGGCTCTGTCCAGCCTGGCCTTGAACACTGCCAGGGATGGAGCATTCACAACCTCCCTGGGCAACCCATTCCAGTGCCTCAGCACCCTCACAGTAAAGAACTTCTTCCTTAGATCCAATCTAAACTTCCCCTGTTTCAGTTTGAACCCGTTACCCCTTGTCCTGTCACTACAGTCCCTGAGGAAGAGTCCATCCCCAGCATCCCTATAGGCCCCCATCAGATATTGGAAGGCTGCTCTGAGGTCTCCACACAGCTTCTCTTCTCCAGGCTGAACAGCCCCAACTTTCTCAGCCTGTCTCCATACAGGAGGTGCTCCAGCCCCTGAGCATCCTCGTGGTCTCCTCCGGACTTGTTCCAACAGTTCCATGTCCTTTTTATGTTGAGGACACCAGAACTGCACACAATGCTCCAAGTGAGGATGGTCTTGTAGCTGTTCTTGTTCCTGGTGGTGGGTTATGCTTTTAGATAAATACTGCTGGTGATTTTACACAGTTCATTTTGAAATATCCTTTACTTTGAGCCATATGTTTTCCTTTGAATGCAATTCAGAATACCTTGGTGGGATTATATGAGTGGAGAAATGGGTCAATTCAGTCCCTGTAATCCTTTTGCAGACATCTCCCTTATTACAACATTGAGCTACTTCTCTCTTCCTCTTCTTTTCAGACTCCACCCTGTAGCATGACCTTCCTGAGACCATCCCTGCACTGCTGTGTAAATATGAAGGGTTTTATTGAGAACTGGTCTACACAAAGGCTATGTCTTTCTTTGCAGATGTGTGTTATAGTCCGAGTGCTTTCGTTTTCAGATCCAGTAGTTGCATTTGGAACATGATGCTGCACCGTAGCCAAAATTGGGGGAAAAAGCATTAAAAGAATTGTATCTCTTTGTAATGATCATGGCTTTCCGCTAGACCTTTAAAGCACAGTTAGAAGCTTCAGGAGCACAGAAGATGAGAGGAAAAATAATTGGCCAAAATGAAACTTTCCAAGGAGAACAAAGGTGGGAGAGATCATTCTGCCACCCCACTCACCTGTTGGCAGGCTGCAGCAAGAGTATTTCTTGACACCAAAGATCAATGAAGCCTTTTAGTGCGTGATTTTCTAATCCAAAGCAATCATATCAGATTCCATGTAATTCTCAGCAGGTTTCCTAATTGTGTTCTGTATTTATTCCACTGCCAGTAGCAGCCAAATCTTTTATTTTCCTTAACCTCTAAGCTGAAACCAGGATCTGCCTGCTAGTTTTATCTGGGCTATAAAGGGATGCATCCTCAGATTGGCCAACATGGGGTAGTGCTACTCCCAGCAAAAATTCATTGATGGGAATGATTGAAAACCTAGAATCAATTGTATTTGTGTGTGCAGATCAATGCTGTACTTAGAAGATCTACTGTAGCAAGTGCTGTAAACCAGGATGCATCTGTCCTAAACCATCACCTTTGAAACAGAACTGCCCCTACCTCATGTCCTTGCTGGAATGTTTTTGCCTAATGCAAAAAGAGGTTCAAAATCTTCCATGTTTGACCAGAAAGACAAGGTACCACCAGAGATCTTCTGCCATGGCTGGGGAATTCCACCACTGAGTGGAGGAGGAGACTGGAAAGCACAAATGTTATGAGGACTGTACGAACATACAGCCCTGGAGCCTTAGCACCAAAGGTACTTTGACAGCATCTAGACAGCAGGAGAGCGTAGATCAAAGACTCAAAGGCACTGGATCCTCAGACCCAGTCAAACATTTATGTGGGGCTGAAATGTTCTTTCTGCTGCTATTTTGTACGATGTTGTAGACAAAGCAACAGTAGATTATGAAATTAAACCATAATTCAGGCAATTGCATCATGAGTAAGTTTTTATTTTGGAGAAGGAAGTGCAGCCAATTCCTGACTGTAATCCCTGTCAGCCATGTAACGGCTGTGTGAGCTCACCCCTCACCCTGCGTTGTGTGCGTGTAGGCTCCTGTTTCACCTTGGGAGAACAGAAGAACAGCTACAAGGCTTTTACAAGTTTGGTTCTTGCTCATCTGTGGGGTGGCAGAGTGGTGCAGGCTCTCCTCGTGCTAACTAGGCTCAAAAGGACATGTGCACGGTGGCATGAGGCAGCACTTGCTGATGAGGATGTACCCATAGCAAGTGATGCCATGCCTCCTTCCTTGGAGCTATCACTGCCAGTTGCTATGTACATTCATGTGGCATGCTACCCTTCAGCAAGGGTCAGTTTATTCACAGTGTGATAACCCAGGGCTGCTCCTCACTGAGTGTTGTCTTCCATCGGGGCCCAGCTTCTGCCCTTGCTCCTCCCTTGGCTGCTCACCTGGTCCCATCCCTTCATCTCCAGGGAGTGGTGCTGTAGGATTGCGGAGTCCTCCAGGTGTCCCCAGGCTTCTGCAGAGCAGCTCTGTGGTTCCAGCTCCTTCAGAGGCCTGAGAAGCTTTAGATCTCCCATGAAACTCCATTTAAGAGCTGCCATTGGCAATGTCTTACCTCGAGCTAAAGGCCTGAACACTTCTTTCCTGGGTTATGAGGTTATGGCAGGAGTACACTCAAGAGAGCATCACCCTCAGATCATTGAGGATGGTGCCCTTCTGTGTGCTCCTGTAACTTAGATCCAAACATCATCAAATACCTAAAGGGGGCTGACAAGAAATCTGGAGAGGGAAAAGGGCATTTGGGATCATTGCCTCTGCTTCCAAAGCCTGTCTCAGAACTGCCTTTGCTCCTGAGCAGACAGTGCAGCTGGGCTGGAGATGCCGACCAGGAGGTGGCTGCTGCTGGAGTCCCAAAGGTGGGTAAGGAAGCCACTTACACCCCATGCAGAGGGGTTTGCAGGCTGCACCAAGGCAGGAATTCAGCCCGTATGGAAGCACACAGCCGTGGTACCCTGGTGCATGTCCTGCTGCATTCCCTCTCTTCCATGATGGTGTGGCTGGAGGATGGAGGTCTGGGAGCAGAGCACGGGTGCACACAAGCCACTGTGGTTTACATGACTGTGATCACCAGCACGGGGCAATGTTATGTGGTGGGGCAGGATGAGGCCGTGGCTTTGCTAAGGTCCAGCTTGGTGTCCTGCTCTAGGTGGGAGAACTGCCCTGGTCTGCCTGTTGTCTGGGGCTTCCCTTTCTCAACATCAATTAAGACTTTTGTCCTTTTATGCTGTTTCCCATTCCCCATGGGAGCTGTCAGCCTGGCAGCAAGTGTGTTCTGCGCCAGCAGAGTGGAGTGTGAAGGGGCTGATACCCGAATTCCCTGCTTAGTATTACTTATGGACCTGATACCAGGACAGACAAAACCAAACCATTGCAGCGGGGATGGGGTTGGCTGTTCACTGCTGAAGTCAGTGAGATGAATGCAGTGTGGACAGGATCTGTGTGACCACTGAGCATGGTCTGTGGGCCATAGGTGTGTGGTTAACCCGAGTGCTGCTCTATCTGATGGAGCTCACTGTTGTTCAAGTCTCGTTTTAAGGCAGGATGCAGCAGCACCAGCTCAGTGGAGGTGATGCTGTGTGCGCTCAGTTGCTCTGAGTTCAGCCTCAAGAAGTACCTTAGCTCACAGAAAAGAACCTGTTAAGCCCTAAGGAGCTGGGGTGTGGGTGATGGGGAAACCATCACAACATTAGTGCTGTTCTTGCTGTAAATAGGGATTTAAGGGGCCTCCAGGTTTAGTCTGTTCCCTCTGGCCAGCCCTGCCACTGGGTGGTTGCTGTGGTCCTCCAGGGGGTCAGAACTATTGGAGAGCTCACCCACAAGGGATGGCGCGGAGATGAAATGGGAGTGAAACCCCCCCAAAGGAGCACACTGCAGTGTGCTTGTGCTGGCTGCTTCCCACAGCCTCACCGGTTACACTGGCTCCTCCTCACCTTAGCCTTCTCCAGCAGCTGCAGGTCCGCATGTCAGACCCAGAGGCAGTGACCCATGGAGGAGTTCTGTTACCCTGCAGGTGGCATCTCCTTGCTCACTCTGACCTGGTCCAAACCCCTGGGCTGGGCATCGCCATTCCCTTTAGGGTGGCCTTGGAGCAGCCGGAGCTTCTGGAGGTGCAGCTCTTTGTGTCCATGTGCAGCCGCCTGCTCTCTGCACTGACCCTTGGGTGGGATGGTGGCTGCCTCCCCTTTTCCTGCTGTAACCGCTTAGCCCCGGGCAGGCAAACCCAGGTTTCTCTGCCCTCTTTCCCCTCCTCTCCTTCACCCGCCATTCCCAGCTCAGCCCCAGCTTTCCACATCCCTGATGTAAGGCTGGCAGCGGGCTGAGGTTGTTTTGCCTCCTCCAGCCGCCTGCATTGCCTCTGCCTCCACCCGGCCCTTGGCTCTTCTGCCTTGGTGTGGCACGTAGTGGCCTTTGTTCTCGCCCGTTGCATGGCGAGCAGATGAAAGCCCGACCATGAAGCATAATTTATAGCTAGCTTGAAACACAGTTTTGGCAGGGCAAAGCACGCCAAAAGATGTAGCAATGCCTGAGGAGCTGCGCTCATAGTGCTTATCAAATGATGCTTGAAAGGCTCCGTAATGCAAGAGGAGGGTTGAGTTGCTCAATTCTAGCAGAGGATAAACTGCCTCTATTACAGGGACACGTGTTTGGGAGCAAGGCGCTGATAGCTGGCTTTTGGAAACTCGTCCGGCAAGGCAAATCAGAGCTTTGGGAGCCTTGGTCCAGAGGGCAGCCAGGCTACAGGAGAGGGCCCATGCATATGCACCGCCTCTCCTGTCCACCCTTCCAGAAAACTGGCCTAGAGAGGAGCTCATTGCCTTTAATGCAATCAAATATGTGAATGAGCTTCACGCTGACAGCCCTGGAGGGTCTGGGCAGCTGGAGTTGGGCACCAGGGCTGGGTGCTCACTGCAGTTACCCCCAGCCGCCAGGAAAGCCTGGCCATGAGTTGGTGCATGGTGAGAGTTGGGCTGTGCAACCCTCAGACAGCGCTGAGCCTTTAGGACAATCATGTTTCCTGTGTGGCACTGAGGGGAGATGGCTGTTGTGATGCTGCAGAGCCCATCCCAGCAGCTCTGCTGGGGCTATTGAGCTTTTCAGGTTAGTGAGGACCTTAGAGAAACCAGAGCCATGCGTGGATCATCTCCTGTGTGTTTGTGTCCTGACACGGAGCTGCAGTGACCTACCTGTCACTGTGTGCTGTTGAGAAAGGGGGGTCCAGGGAGCAGCTCCACTCCTGACCCAGGCTCCTCCATCATTATTTCAGTCTTCAGCTTTGCTTTGAGTTATTTCATCCAGCTCCCTCCAGGACACGTGATGGGGTTTGCACTATAAAACCCTCACCCCACACAGAAAGAACCCTAATAATAGTACTACTAATAATAAAAATGATAATAATAATAAAATTGATACTAATAATAACAATAATAATGTTGTAGGCCACCACGTGGGTCCAACAAGCATGATCCGTAGATGCAGCCTGCTCTGCAGTGGAATGTCCCAAAGCAGGGTGGCTGAGAGCCTATCCATGCTGCCTGCCTCAGAACCAGGATTAATCCCTGTCCCTCTTTCATTATGTGATGATTCTGACCATGTTGCTGAGCAGGGAAGACCACTGGGATGTCCAGCTGGGAGTCCCCTTGGCTTCTGTCTCCCATCCCTTGGGACAGGACGTTTTGTACTGCCCAAAGCCAAGAAGGTGTCCTAGTTGCAAACGTGCCCTCTTTTCCTTCCCACAGCCAGTTCAAACGCTTTGAATTCCATTTGCTGTGCCAAGGACAAGTAGTTTCCCTTCCCGAGGAGGTTGTCCTCCTTCCAAAGCTCCTGCTGGGCTGCAGCAAGGTGCCCTTTTGTTACCCATGCAGGCAGGAAATTTCCAGCACAAGACTTCAAGTAGAAAGTGGGGTAAAGCTGCCTGGAAAAATGGTGTCAAACCCCATTTCTGCACAGAGAGGTCTGAGTTTTACTGTATTTTGTCAAAGCAACTTAAATTGGGGATTATTGAGGGCAGGTGCTATCGAATAACTACTGAAACATCCTTGGTTTTCTAGGTGAAACCTTTGTACAGAACGTCAGCCTGTTCTTATTGCAAGGAGAGGATGAGATGCTTTGTTCCCCAGAAGTAAGGTGAGATAGTGGTTTTCAGTCATTCCTAAGCAGTAGAGGAGTCCTTAATGCTTTAGTTGGAATGAAATGGTATGTGATAACCCCAGCAGTTACAGTGTTTTTAAAGCAAAGAGGAACAGCTTTCTGGTGTCACAGAAGTGGTGAACCTCCTCTTCAGCCTCAGCATCCTCACACTGCAGAGCGCTGGCTTTGAACCCCACAGCCATGGCAAACAGATGTGATAGACGCCAGTGGCAGCCACAGTTTTAGTGCCAGGCTGCTCATTCCTACCCTTTCATAGGGATGTTGGTGGTCCCCCAGGTGCCATGGAGGACTCTGGAGTTAAGAAGGTGATGTTTGGCTGCACAGTTATTATCTGGCCCCAGTCTGTGCACTGAAGCTCTTCATATGCCCATGGAGCCGCTGGTCAACTTGCTTAGAACCCCTGGCATGCACATGTATGTGGTGGGGGGTACCACGACACAGGCATGCGGAACGACCTCCCATGCTCGTCTCAACAGCATTGCCCGCTTTCAAGGGAAGCCTCTTGCAGCAACCCCACTTAAGTGGTCCCCAAGAACAGGCTTCAGCATCACCACAGGTAAGTGCCACGAGCACAAGGTGTCCCTCGTTGCACCTATCTCCTCCCACATATCCTCTCCTGCAGATTAACAGCCTATACACTGTGGTGCACCAGGGAAGACCTTGGGAGAGGCCAGCCCCAGAGATCCTGAGCTGGGATCTGATGCTGCCTCCTGGGGCTCTGCAAAGGAATTTGTTATCCCAGGCTCATTCCAACCCTGTCACAAACTTTGCCCTTGAGCTGCTGGGCAAGGACCGTAGCAAGGAGAGGCTTTGCCACAGGTTCCCACATGGTGAGTCTTGGTGTGAAGCATCTCTCCCTTCATAGAGATGGGTGAAGAGACAGCCACAGGCTGAGCTTGCCCTGAACTGGACATTGCCATGGCAGAGGGTACTGGGTAGAGATGGGAAGAGGTCAGCAGCTCCTTGACCAATCTTGTGGAGGCTCCTCAAGTGAGATGGGGACACAAAGAGACTAAACTGGGTGGATTGGCCTCTTTCATGGCCTTCTCCTGGAGGGAAAGCAGAGATCCTTCCTTCTCCATCACCATCCTCCCCACCCAGGGCACCTCCCTGGTGCCTGCCCTTCCCTGTCACTGCATGGTCACCCCTGGTGCTTGTTTCCAGGGTACCTGCTGACCACAGCACGTCCCTTTTTTAGCCGCTGACAACTGTGAGCAGTTCAGAGCTGCGATGCTGCTGCTCATCAAAGGTGGGACCTGGAATGTGCTGTTTGGCTGAGGATGTCCAAGTGCAGGGAAGGGCAGAAGAGACAACCTGTACCCTCAGCCTGGATAGCAACTGAGTCTGGACCTGCTCTTGGGTACCTGCAGGTTCCCTCACAGACTTTCAAGGGTGGTCTCCAGCCCATAGATGTCCTGCCCTGCTCTGTGTTGCCTGCTGTGTGTTACATGGGCCATCTCCCACAGAGGCAGGAAAAGCAGGGAACCAGGAATATGAGGCCAAGGAGGTCCAGTTGGCAAGGGCTTGGGCTTGTCCTGGTCTCCAGTCCCCCAGGATGGTCACGGGTGGAGCTCAGGGTACACAAAGAAAGTCTGGGAGAGGTGGGTTGGTTCAGATTGAATGATGGAAAATTTAGAGGGATCTTACACTCTACACAGCGAATTAACTGGAGGATGCAGAGAAGATGGAGCCAGACCTTCAGAGGTGCATGGGGGGGGGGGGAGAAAAAGAGGCAACAAGAACAAGCTGGGACATGGGAAATTCCTTTTAGATACCTGGAAAAAAAAAATGACTTCCCTCATAGTGGAAACACTGGGAGAGAGGCCAGAGAGGCTGCGGGATCACCATTCAACCTCAACCAGACAAGGTCTGGAGCAGCTGGCTCCTGACCCCGTCCAGCAAAGCTGGCTGTGTTTGAGCAGAAGGTCAGCCTCTTCCTATCTCAATTATTCCATGTTTCTGTTAGGACACACCTTACTGATGCAGTGACTTAGTTCCCAGGTACTCTATCTCCATTACGCAATGCTTTCATCTGGCTGCATGCAGCCTCGCAGCTGCTCGGTGTGAGCGATCCTTCCTTAGTGTCCTCACCTAAGCTCCCATCCACAATAGGAGACCTTGGTGAAGCCTGCCTGCTTTGCCAAGGGCTAGCCCGTGGTCTGTCCCACCTCCTCATCCTCCTGCAGCACCACCTGAGTGCCACACGTGTGCGAGGAGCGGAGGGAAGGCTTTGCTCAAGAGCAACCTGCCCGCGTGTCTCAGCAGGCTTCTGCATGGCTTCCCGCAGCCTGGCAGCTCCATGCTTGCTTTCAGCTGGCTCCTGCTTGCCCTGTTGGGTCTGAGCTCTCCATCTGCCCCTTTCTGGTGCCGCTTTCTGGTCCCACAGAACAAAGAGACCCTTTCCTGAGAGCAGAGCAAAACAAAGGCTTTGTGAATCTGAAGAGCGAGGTTTCCTCATGGAGAAACTGTGCCAGGCTCTGGGAAGCCTCAGCTCTGCTGGGGCAAGGCTCAGAGGCAAATACAGGGAATTCCCAGCCCCTTTACCTCTATCCCTCCTCATCACCACCCGCCCTGAGGACGAAGCAACCCTGGGTGCTAAGGGAACCCCACAGCAGCACTCCCTGCCTCCAGGTTTGGGAGCCAACTGCTCTCCCGTGGCAGATTTCACAGCAGCCCGTAGCCACTTCCAGCCCAGGAGTGCCTGGCAAGTTGGAACAGCGAACCCTGCGCGGCCCTGGGAGCAGCGCTGGGCCAGCGAGCCCTTTGATTGCGATCAGCGAGCTGGCAGGCATCCCAGGAACTCGCACAAAAATGCTTTGAAGAGGGCAGATGCACAAGGTGTGTCCCGTGTGGGGCGCGGGGCCGTGAGTCACGGCATCACCATGCGATGCACATGCACCCCGCACCGCGGCGACGGCCCCGACACCCTCGGATCACTGCAGCCCTGATTTATTGTAATGTCTTCTTTATTTCACCCTCCGATCTGTTGCCCATCGCACCCTGAATTTGGGGTTGGTGCCCTCTCTGCCTTCCCCCCACCTCGCTGCTGCCTGCGAGCTCCAGACAGAGAGGCAGACAGGGAATTTGCTTCAGGCACTGGTAGATGCAAGCTCTGCTGCTGCGCTGGGGATGACACTCACCGTGCCCTGCTAAGTAAGCATCCCCAGCCCGCGGTACAGAGCAGAAGCAGCAGTTTGCACAGAGGTGCAATGAACTGCTTCGTTTAAACACCTTTTGCTCTTTTGGACATGGGTTTGGAGGGTTTTGCAGAAACCAGGGAGGTTTGGGTTGGAAAGAACCCTAAAGCTTATCCAGCTCCAGCTCCTGCCACTAGAGCAGCTTGCTCCAAGCCCCTGTGTCCAACCTGGCCTTGAACACTGCCAGGGATGGGGCAGCCACAGCTCCTCTGGGCACCCTGTGCCAGCGCCTCAGCACCCTCACAGGGAAGAGCTTCTGCCTAAGAGCTCATCTCAGTCTCCCCTCTGGCAGGTTAAAGCCATTCCCCTTGGCCTGTCCCTACAGGTCCTTGTCCAAAGCCCCTCTCCAGGTTTCTCTCCCTTGTGCTGGACCATACAAACTTGCCCAAAGAAACTGTTGTTTCTTGAAAGCCTTTGTGAGCTCCATCCCCATCTCCGCAGCCCAGCTCAGCATTTTGGGTGAGTTATGAAACAGGGCAGATGCCGGAGCCAAATGACGGGCTGTGATAAACACTTGGCTCTCCCGTGCAGGGACAGGGTGAGGGCTGTTCCTTGCCGTAGGGGAAATGACATTACAGGTTTGCAAGAGCTGGGCACTTTGTTGTGCAGAAGCCATCTGACGCTGACAGCCTGTCATTGATTTGCGAAAACATCGCTTGGCATCGATAACAAGCTTTCAGGAGAAACAAGTAGGACAGAGCAAAACAACACCCAGGTATTGCTTTGCTGTTCCCTACCCGGGCTGGAAGCACCCAGACCCATCCCCACTCTTCATCCTTCTCCATCCCACTTGGGCATCGTCCATCTGCTCATGGGCAGCACTCAGCCCTCATCCTGGCTGGTCTTGCTTGGGCATGCTCTAAATGTCCAGGCTGGTTGGATGATGGAGGAGAGGGAAGGCTCTGCATCCCTTGGGTGAGGTGTCAGGAAATGCAGGGAGAGGGGACTAAAGGTAATTACCCTCTAGTTGCTCTAGTCCTGTGTCTCAATGGGTTTCTGCAGTTGGGTTTCACTGGAAGAGCATCCTGAAGCATCAGAAGAAGGTGCACAATGCTCATCTATCCAAGGAAGACGCCCTGTGCTTTCTGATGCTGCTCTTATGAATACAAAACACTGCTCACATGCCACCAGAGAAACAGAAAACCTGATAAATGGGCCAAAACAAAGTGCTTTCCCTCTCCTTTCAAGGAAGGACCCAGCGTGTGGGTGCTGAGAGCACCAGGCCTGTGGGCAGAGCCTGGGCACTGATGTTTCCCACCAGAAAGAAACCCCACGGTCCTGTCCATGGGGCTCACCCTCCATGGGGCAGCAGGAAGGAGCCTGCTCCTCCTGGCCCTTCTCTGGGCTGTCCTGGGAAGACTCAGGAAGCCTCTGCCCTGTGCACCCTCCCCTCAGCCTCCCTACGGTTGGGGTTTGTGCCTCTTCTGTATCAGCCTCTTGCGGCTTGGCAGGAGCTTTGTCAGCGCTTGCTGCGACCTGAAACTGGTCACACCAGCACCGAGGTGTTCGGTTCTCTGCAGACGAGTTGCTGCAGCGTGGCTTGGCAGAGGGAAAACCCTCTGCTCGGATTCAGAACCTGGCATGTCGTTTCTTGTGCAGCCACTCTGTCTCCTCTTCTGCTGGCTAAAAGTCCTGCTTTCCTCCGTGCTACCCAAGTTACTTGCAAAGGTTGCCCCAGCTCTTTCCCTGGTGCCTGCCCTCATTCATCCAATGGATATCCGTGAAGGAATTGTAACCCCTTTGGGGAAGAGGTCTCACCCCCATGAACGCAGCAGGACCCTCCGTGACCCCTACTTTAGGTGCTGTGCAGGTGACCCTGCAGTCCTGGGCAGGCAGAGCAAGCAAGTGGGGAGCTGGACATCCTGACCAAGGGAGGAGCATCTCAGCAGGATGGAGGCTGGAATGGGCACTGAGGGCAGCAATGCTCCTCTGACCTGTGGTGTGTTCAACGCTGCCTCCTAGTAGAAGGGGTGTCCCCAGGCTCTTGGCACTGGGACACCATTTTGATCCATTTTAGACAAAGGGAAATAGTAAAATACAAGCTGAGCAGGCTACGTGGGAGATCCTACAGCTCTCCATCCACCAAAGAGCACTATTCCCTACCCAGACCCACAGAGCCTCACCCACGAGCACCTTCCCTGTGAAGGGAATGGCGATGTCCATCGCTAACCCTCATTCCTCCCAGCCTTGCCCGGTCCCCATTGGTACCCACAGGCTCCCCTTGCCCCCAGTGTGTGCCGGCACATGCTGGGGGAGGCAGATGTGGGGCGAGGGCAGCGGGAGCTGTGTGTGCCCTGCAGCGGGGAGCGGTGGGTGTGTGCAGGCAGGGCTGTATATCCAGTCTGGCAGAGGGTGTGCCTGCTCACACGCCGCGGAGCCGAGCCGGGAGCAGGAGCCCTCAGACACCCTTGGCTGGGGGACGTATGGCAAGGAGGGGTTCAGGAGATTAACCCCAGCCTTTGCTGTCGCCTTGCGTTGTGTGCGGTCCGGTGAAGTGCAGCCCCCCGTCCCCAGCCCCGTGGTCTGCTCGCAGCCATGCTCCACTCTCCACTGAAAACAGCGTTGGCGTATGAATGTTTCCAAGACCAGGCCAGCTCCACGCTGGCTCTGCCCTCGGACCACAAGCTCAAAACTAAGGGCACGGGAAAACAGCGGGTCCAAGAGCAAGTGATGATGACGGTGAAGCGGCAGAAGCAAAAGTCATCCGTGTCGTCGAGCGTGGGACACTCCAATCGAGGTAAAACCCCACCGTGCTCCGGACAGCAAAGGGCTCCCCTCTTAGGATGGAGCAGATGTTATGGGGTGATTCTATGGGGTTTTGTTTGTGGGGGACAGACTGGTTCGTGTCTCTCACAGGTTATCCCAGGTGGGGGATGCTGAGGTCTTTTGCACTGGATGGAAGGGTTAGAGCTGGATGCATCGCCTCCCTCCCCGTGGAGCCCATCTCCTGGGAGCGCTGCGCTGCTCCACATCCTCGAGGCACTTGGACAGTTCAGTGTGGTGCTATTCACCATTTGCTCCCTGGCCCTAAAGGAGGATTTGCTGCACCTTTGCAGATCCTTCCTCTGCAAGTGCCCCCATGGTTGGAATCCTCCACCAGTCCCGTCCCCTCCCATGGGTGGCCAAAGCCATCCACTGTGCCATGGGGCCGGGAGCTGGCCACAGGCAGGGGCTCGGCTGTATCCTGAGCATTGGGCAGCTCTGCCTGCACACAGGACACAGACCTGAGCTTGGGATTCGCCTCGAAGCTCCCAGCGCGTCTCCCATTTGTAGGTGAGAAGTGTGGGAGCCTCCAGGACACCCCGGTGTGAGCACTTGGGAGGAGATGAGTTAGGACGAGAGATGTCCTTTTCTAACCACAATGGCTTGTGTTGGTTCAGTTGGAGTGCTTCCATTTAGCAGATGGGTTAAAAAGGGTGTAGGGGTGCAGGCAGCCGGTCCACCTCTATGCACTGAGTCTGTGCTATAGAAGACAAGTGATCTTCGGGGTCCTGGAGCTGGGTTTCCTACAGGGATACCTTCCTCTTGGGGTCGAGGCTTGGCTGATTGTTTTCCTTGCTGTCCCTGTGTCCGGAGGAAAACCCCAGCTTTGCCCATCCGGGAGCTGCGAACCCAGAGGGCTGCAGCAGGCACAGTGCAAAACCTCCCGGTTCTTGGAAGTGCTTTTCCCAGCGGCTGCAGTGAGCTCACTGCGCTGGATGAGTTCACCGGGAAGAGGAATTCCCAAGGCTTTGGGGGAGAGAAGGGGGCTGGGGCTGGGATTGAACCGTTCAGCCACGTCTGCGGTGGGCAGCATGCAGAGGGCTGTTTGCTGGGGTGCTGGGTGAGCTGGGCCAATCTCTGCCACCTCTTTTGGGGATTATGGCTTGCCCGGCAGCTATTCCAAGCGGGACCATGAGGCTGAATCCAGTGCTGGTGAAGTGTAATGGTGCAAACACACATTTTGGGCTGGTTTACCAAGAGAAGCAGGGCAGCAGAAGGCTGCGGTTGAGGTGGTGCTGCCCTTGGAGCCATCCTGGCTGTGTGCATTGCAATTGCTGCGATGGAGGAAATAGAGCAGCTCCACGGTGGATGACAGGGATGCAGTGACACTGCCAGGAACAAATCCCTGCTTTCTCTTTATTTGTGTGCTTGTGGACATAGACTCCCAGGGGTATGTGGGGGGACAGGGCAAGGAGAGCTTTGTCCTGCCACCAAAGTGGAAGATGCAAATCCCCTCCTACCTCAGGAGGGTTTAGTGCTTGAGGTGCTATGGTGCCAGACCTGACAAAATAAGCTACAACCCAGGATGAGATGAGAGGCTCCGGATGGGGACTGGCACTGCCTTTCCAGCAGAGGGGTATTTCTAGGGGAAGCAGGCAGAGAGATGTCTCCCACTGCTGCCCATAGCAGGGAGGAAGCGAGGCAAAGGGGGATTGTTCCACTTGGAGAAGCCCAGGTGAAACCTCTGGGAAAGAGGAAAACAAAAAGAGGCAAATTCTCATGCTGCTCATCTCAGCTCGAGGCTGAAGCTAAACCCCTCCTCCAGACACTGCTGGAAATGCCTGGGAATGGGAATTGCGTGGCAATGTGCAGCTCTGGTTTCTGTGTCCCAGGGAAGCTGAGTCACATCCAGCTCCCAGGAACTGCTTCCAAACACAGGGCTGAGGCTGCCCTATTCCCACTGTGGGGAGGTTGGTCAGTGTGAAGGTCCCGGTGGCCGTGCTCAGTGCATTCCTGGATAGAATGCCAAAGAAGCTCCCATTTATTCTCCGGGTTTTCTTCTGTGTCTAAGCCTGAGTGCGTCAAGTTAAACATTCAGGTATTGCTGTTGGTGCAAAGGTTAGACCTAATGAGAAGCATTAATGTCTCCTACAAACAGGCTCCATGGGGCTGTAGCCAGCTATAGATGTCTGCTTGTTCAAATGCTCCCCCAGCATCAGTTACCTGCATCCCCCCGTGGTTTCTCAGAGGTGCTCCTCATAGGCAGCACAAGCTGGGGAATTCACAAAGCCCCTTGAAGAATGTTCAGGTCCTTTGTTCCCTCTGCACCCAGACAGTTTCCTGCATGTGTCTGGTTAGGTGTTGGTCCAGGTCCAGCCGTCTGTTGTGCATTTTGATCTGTGGTTTGGGCAGGAACTGAAGCACAGCACAGAGCTTCCCCTACCTTCAGTGTGTGCTTCTCTATGTAGGGTGAGAGCGTGGACATGGACCCCTTCTGCATGTAGCAGGGATGGGCACTGCTGTATCCCATCAATGGGGTTTCTTTAGAGGGTCAACAGACGTTCCCTCAACGTCCTGTTACTTGATGGATATGTAAAATTCCTTGGTTATTTGGAGCCCACCAGACCACCACCCTCTGAAGATCTGGTGTCACTCAATACGTGGCACAAGGCAGAGCAGGGAATGTGATCTATGTGGGCACAAACTGGTGTGCACTGGCGTGGGGCAGTGAGCAGAAACCAGTTACAAGCAGCATAATCCTGCACCCACGGTGGGGCCTTCTCTCAGCAAAGCAGCTATGGGTGTTCTCAAGGACGGGTGCAGAGTTTTGGGTCTGTGGAGTCTGCCACCCTTGGGCTTTGGGTCTTCGGGCTCTGCCTTAGGATGTATCTGCCCTTCTCCCCATGGGAATAGCTAACCAGATGGCTCCCTCTGGATTTGTGAGTCATGCAAATTTCCAGGGAAAAGGAATTTCAGTGGCAGGAGACAAGGCCAGGCTAAGCTGAAAAAGCTCCTCGCAGCCAACAGCACCGGTCTGCAAAGTCCTCTGGCTGAAGAGAAGTTTTGCCAGTAACTCGTCACTGGCTGGCAGGGTATATCAGGGAGCAAAGACCTGAGGAAACCCACAGGGACCATCCTATCCAGCTGTCTCATAGCTGAGCTGTGATTTAGACCTTTGTCATGCTGACATGGCTGAGAGGGGAGCTCTAATGGCATCCCACTTAGCTCTAATGGGATCCCACCTAGCTCTAAGACGGGGTCATTACTCTGATATGAAGAGGATATGTGGGGGTTAGTAAGTGTTTTGAAGAGTTCTGTAATGTTTCCCTGGCATGAGAGGGTTCAGTGAAAGTCATCCAGGGTTCCACAACCCTTAGATTATCGGTACAGAAACAATACCAAAACCCTTTAGCTCAATAGGCCAGAAGACAGAAATGGAGTTGGTCATTCCTGAAAGAATTACAGCTTCTGGAATTCCACTGACACTTCTGTCCTATGAGGCATCCAGGCTTTGCTTTGTGCCTCCCACAGGCCCTTTTCTCTTACTATGCTTTTTCTATGTTTAATCATCCTTACAGTTTTAAAGCCGTGCATAGTTTATTATTTAACTTGTTTAGCCTGCACTACCAGTGACTGGTTCTTGTCTTGCTTTTCCCTGCCATAGATTAATATTTATTAACGTGTATCCATTTCCACAATGCTCCCTGTTAGCTCCATGTGTCTCTGAAGTCTTTCACTGTCATGCTTGAAAAATGGCATTTAATTCTCCTTGCCATCAGTCTCTTAGCTTCAAGGGGTGTAAAGCTGCCTTTGAAGAAAGTAAATAACTCATCAAGGACAGGCATATTGGGTTGGATGGAAGCCGCAGTTTGCTCTTCAATGATCTATAACAGCTGTAGAGAGGAGAAGGAGGAAGGCAAGGCTCACAGTGACCAAGTGCCAGATCTTGCAGTCCCGGCCTGGTGTAGTTTTTACCCTCAGGAACTGTCCCACTGAAGTTCAATGAGGATTTAAACTGATCAGGTTTGGAAGGAGATGCCTTGGGTGAATGAGAGTTTGGGGGGTGGGAGAGAGGGGTCCCTTCAAAGCCCAGGCAGCACCTGAGCAGCCCTCAGCAGTATTTTCTGCCCACAGCCATGGTCACTGGGAGGCTGTTTCATCTCAGTGATTCTCATCCATGTCTTTTCTGCCTCCGTCCTGGCTGTTATCTACTACTAATACAGTGGGTTTGATCATCTCTGGGTTTGTCCAAGGGCACTTCAGAAACCTGAACGGCTTCTTGGATGACAACAAATGGAACGTAGGGATATAGCTACAAAAAACCACCACAGAGGCATCTTCCCCAAATAGCATTTCCACCCCTTGTCAAAATGCTTTGCTCAGGAGACAGACAGTCTGTTTTTATCCATATTCTCAGGACCTGTGAGCAGTTGTATGGTTTTTACCCTTGAGGTGGTTGAAAAGAAGAATATTCTTCCTTGCCTCAAGGGCTGGTGGTACACCCCCAAGGTGGCTCTTGAGATGAACCAGGCAGAGAAGTGTCTAACGTTGCGGGACTAAACAAAGATGATGTTTTCTTAGCTAACTCCATCAGAAAATCCTCAGGTTCCTCCTGGCCTTCAGACTGAGCTCTCCAAGCAATAAACCACAGTTGCACGGTAGCAGGAGAAGCACCTTCTCCAACCAGCAAGGCAGCTTCCAAATGCCTTGAACGTTTGAGGTTATGTATAATTATGTACTTATAAGCATTCATATACAAGTTCTTGGAGGTGAAGGCAACTCTTCAACAACTGAAGAATATAAACTTGCATGAACTGCCTGCTCTCTTGAAGCTGGCCATGTAGCAGTGGATTCATACACGAAAATTAGAAATGTGCCTAAACTGCCTTATTTTTGGTGTCTCCTTGCTCAACCCCAAAAGCTTGAGTGCAGTGCATGTCAAGAATGGATCCTGAAAGGAAAGGCATGGTCCCCAGGAAGGGCTGCTCAGATTAACTTGTGATTTGTGCCTAGAAACCCTTGCTTCCTATTTGTGGCCAGGAAAATGCTCCCAAGCACTCACACCTGCAGTTCCATGGTGTCTGCACAGAACAAGAGGTTGACTGTAAGAAGGAATTCCTAGGAAACTGTTGTCATGAGATTGTCTTATCTTTGTGCTCAAAACTATGGTTATTGGCTAATTCTGTCTCCTGGTGAATCACTTGGCCCAAACTTACCATTCAAGCCCTGCCTTGCTTCTGTTGAAGCCCAACAGTAATGTCCTGATCTGGAGTTCCCAGGAAATCTCAGGGCGGGGAGGGAAGCACAAGGCGAAGGGCACAGCTGAATTGTGTCTCCAGTTGCATGTCAATGGCCATTTCCTTGCCTTATCAGCAAGCTCTGTGCAACTAAAGATATATTAAGATATATGAAAATCTGTATCATTAAGATATATGAAAATCCATGCCTTAATAGATTTTAATATGCAGATATATCTTAATAGATCTCTCAGGGCTAGAGAGATATTAATAGGGAACAATGCCCACCAAGTCTCTAGACTAAGGGCAACAAGATCCTGTGGTTTTCTGCATAAGTGTATGTCTGTGAGACTACTCCGCTGCTGCTTATTCTGCATGCAGTGGTGTTCTTCAGACGCTGCCGTCCATGCAGCCTTGTTCTTTTCTTGTTGACAATAGAAAGCAAATCTCATTATTTGTACCGCATCTGCAGGAATCATCTTCCTGAGAAAATGCAAGAATTTTTAGCCACAAACCAAATCACCATAACAGGTTCCGGATGCCCCAGGCTAGGCAATAAACTAGATTTATTCCAAGGATCAGTGGCTGTAGAAGACCTTGAGTGGCTTCAGGGCCTTTGTGGTTGAGCTTATCCAGTTTATCTAAGAGATGAGTCTTATCGAACAATCAGAGAGATTAGGATATTTCTGACATTACCCACCAGTTTAGGTGCATAACTTAAGACAGGTACATCCTGATTTTGTACTTCGTTAGACATTCAGAGCTTCCCCTGGAAGTTAATTGGAATGTAGGGTTTGCACTTCCTCATAACGGGACTTGGGATGCCACAATTGTTGAGCATGAAACTTAAATGACCTTATACTCTTTTGGACCATCTGAAAGGGGTGAAGGGAATTCTAGCATGGAAAGAGATATAACTCATTTCACTTTTTCTTCTAGTGATGAGTGTAGTGCTGAGTAAAATACTTTTAGGAGGGATCCAAAGAGTGCACTGCCAAAGGCTACTGGTGAGAGGCAGCTGGAAGAGCTTTTAGTAGGGCTGGGACAGGTAAATCTAAACACTGAATAAAGCACTGAGAAACAGTGCAAATGGTTCCCAGTCCAAGATACTTGCCTCTTTACAGAATGTGTCTGAGATCTGGTCTCACACCAGCAACTCAAAGACAGCGATGGACCTTAATACATTTTCAGAAGAAGAAAGTACAAGTACACAGAGTGATCTTGTAGAGACTGGAGATTGAAATCTAAGGCAGTGAAATTAGGGTTTTTTTAGTGTTTGACTGTTTCAGATCCCCAGGTGTTAAATAGACTTGATCATCATTTACCCATCGTGTTAGTTATTTACTATTTATTGAGCCTTGCTCAGGTTGTTCGTGCTGATGTGGTTGTTAATATTCAGACCAGGAAACCCAGGCTGGTGAAAGGGTCTGGGATGGGTTTTGCCTTCAGAGAAGAGACAGATTTTATTTACCTCCAAGGCAGAATAAGGGAAGAATGTTCCAGGTTCAGACCTTCCTGGATGTGTAGCACAAACTATCATCTAGTTCCTCTCATATAGCAAAGACCTAAGACATTGGGCCAGTCTCTGACTTTGTCCACTGTAGATCTTACGGTACTCAGTCTTTTGTGCTGAAGACCTTAGGCTGTTCCTTGTGGTCTGAGGGCTGGAATTTCCAAGAGCTCATTTGAAATGAACATCCCCTATGAGTGGTCTGCAATGGCAACGGCTCAACTTCCCGTTTCCTGTGTTCCTGTTAAGGTTTCTAGCTCTGCTGTCTTCAGGAACTAAACTCACCGGCGAAAAGAGCACTGTGCTCTGAAGGAGTGCCTGCTGGGAATGCTTTCTCCTGCTGACCATGCTTTTTTCACTTCCAGGTTCCATGTACGATGGTTTAGCTGATGGTTATGGCTATGGGACATCCCGGGGCAGCTATTATACCAAAACCCAAACAGGAAACAGCAACTGGGGATATCCGGTAAGATACTCTTTTATCTGGGAACTGTGGCATCCTCTTGAGGTAACCTATGCAGAAAGCACCCTCTAGCCAGAGCAGTCATATAGCAAGGTCATAGCACTTCAAAAGCTTGCCAGAGAGAGATTATGCATGGCTATGGCTATCTTAGACAGTAATTCAATGCAATGGAAGAGGATGATTGAGTACTCTCTCTATATATTGTATGTGGTCGAGGATTTTAGTGTGGACAAGAGCTAGTTTGGTTTTGTGGATTATTATCCACATGGCACAAGAGGTTTGAAGCTTTCTCTAGGGTCAGTTACAGGTTCAGACTCTTACAACTCAGTTCAAGTTTGGAGCACATCCATTGCTCACCTGCAAGAGTTTCTCTTTCTGTTTCCATGTACCCAGATTCCTATGTGACTGCCATGAATGTGGTTGAGTAGTGATGATCAGGGGAGTTGCATTATAACTGTGTTGCTATTCCCAATTGCAATGCAAGTGCAGACCCTTTGCAGATATTCTCTGAGCTTGGAAAAGAGGTGGTCCATTTCTCCTATAGTGAATCCGAAGAAAATATTACGGATTGCCAGAAAAAGCACAGGGGAGATTGCACTTGTCTTTGTGCAATCTGAGTTTATACAACCCACAGATATCCTGGTCTTATCCTTGGTGACAGACTCTAGGTACAGTGGGAATGATTCCAAACCACTCCAAAGTCTACTGGGACAACTTGTGCTGGTGTTGCTCCTCCACCTATTCTGCTCTTCCTTGGTTTTCATTAGCTATAAAGTAGAAAGAAGCAATGCACAGATCTGGGATTTGAATGAGGGCAAAATAAAGGGCTTTCTTCAACAACTCTGGGACTGTAAAGCAACTTCCTGTCAACCATCAAAGGGTTGAACCAGGAAGAGTGCTTACGTTGGCATTGAGCATGCAGACAGAGGGTTGAAGCTGCTCCTGGTAGCTGCCAGATCTTCTGCCTCTTCACAGCATTCTTCAGCTTCAGAAAGATTTATGTTGCCTTGGTGTAGCATGCTTGCTTCAATGCGGTGATACTGCATCACTGGATTTGCTGCCTGCTGCACGTTCAGTAGGAAGGACTGGGAGCACTGGCATTGGAAACTTTTATTTACAGACTGCCTGTTGTCTTGTTTCAGTGTCCTTTGCTGAGCTGGTTAAATCCCAGACAGTGGTGTTTCTGCCTAACATAAGACCAAAAGGGTGCCTCTGATGGGTCAGAGCAGAGGTCCAGCCAGCCCGGTGCCGTGTCTCCATCACTAAGGCAGGAATAGGCCCCTTCAGAAGGGTCTAAACATAGCAAGAGGGCAGTGAGGCATCCTAGAGTGATTTAGTGGCCACCAGAAAGTAGCAGCTGAGGGACCTCCTGAGCTAGAGGTGGAGTCTCTGAGCTTCGTAAGTTGAATGATTGTCCCTGCCCATGGCACGGGGGGTTGGAACTGGATGAACTTAAGGTCCTTTCCATTCCAAACCATTCTATGATTGTGATGTTTTGGTTCAATGATACATTGCTTTTCTATATTCTAATTCCTGAATGGAGTTTATTATGCTTTGTCTAAGCAAAACTGTTCTAGGTGCTGGGTTTTTTTTTGTCAGAGATGAAGCTAAGCCCTAGCTCTGCAGTTGCCCCTCCAGCTCATGCTCATGCTGGAAAGGTGGTACTGCAGCTAGTGTTGCTGGTGTGAGGATTATTGCTTCATTTTGTTCACTCCTGATCTTGTTCCCAATCATTATAACAGAGGGGCAAATGCGACTTGGTTAGAAATGCCATTGGCTGTTGGGTTTTCAGTCCAGCAATGTTGGTGTTCTGGTGAACAGCTTGCAAGGTGATTATGAAGATCAGGGCATCTGTTAGACACGATGGACACAGCAGTTCAGCCACTTCTGGTTCACCATGGACTTACGTAGCTCATGGCTTTTATCTGAAGGGTTCTTCAGCGTTTGCCATTGAGGGAAGCTCTTTCTCCAAACCTAAGTGTCTCACAAGCCTTTCCTCCTGGAAATTTTTGGTCAAGGTCTTCAGGACCTCAGTTACTTTAGAAAAAGGGACTGGGACTTGTGAAGGATTCACAGTAAGAAAAGTCTTACCTAACTGTGTCTATCTGAAAATCAGCCATTTGGTCTTAACAAGTAGTCTAGACTCCTCCCACAGCCAACAAAGAGAGAGGTACGAGGAGGTGATTCATCTCCTCTATCTTGGGGATCTGTCAGGTCAGGATGAATCAACCCCTCTGGATGGCTATCTCCTTCCACTGGTAGCTGGATCAGAGCAGTCACCTAACAGGTAGATGACTGCAGTTAGGGCCGATGAGTCCCAAGTGCCATTGGCACATTGGAACATATAACCTCAAGCCTAAATCTGCTTAACAAGCTTAACAGACATCATACTCCCCAACCACACTGAGGAACCTCCTCCATTTTGCCTCTTCCAGAAGAGTATTACACGTTTACACACATCCATGACCAGCCTCCACCTTGGGTTAACTTTAACTTCTGTCAACCTGTTTGAAGCCTGTGCAGGTTGTAAGACACTAAAACAAAGATAAAGCAAATCAACGTTCGAAGAGAACATTGCTGCTCTTCTTTCCAGCTGGAGCTGGTGCTGTGAGTGCTTCCGAGGAGTTTGAGATGCACAAGCAAGTTCATGTATTTCAAGGAACTGACCTAGGATGGCATTCAAGAAAATTACTTTTAATACTTCTGGAGTTATGGTGTGACAGGCAATCCATGTCCATGTTGCTGCTGCATAGCATTGCAACTTAGACACTGCTCTTAGACTGCCTTAATCTAAGACATCGCCTTAGATGGTGACCCTGAGCGACAGGAGGTCTCCTGTCTCACCCACAGCTCTTAAAAACCAGTATTCCCGACTTCCTCCTTTTGTTTTGCTTTGTGTTTTCTTGGAAACCTCAAGCTTTTTGCTTTGGAGTTTTCTTCCCAACCTTACGATACTGACAGTCAAATATTAGAGCAAAAGAAATGGTAGCTCTGGAGGCTCAGTCAACACTTCTGACTGAGATCTCTGATTTACAAAGACTATTTTGTGTTTATTCCTCTTGCAGGGTGCCTCGTTTCACCATCACTGTGACTAAGCACTTCAATGAGTTGTTATAATGTAGGTAGCACTGAAAGTAGTGGGACCACTCCAGGAAAAGGCTCTCTGAGGGCAGCAGGTTTGCACTTGGTTGCAGTGTTTCCTTGGTTCATTTGTTAGGGGATGGCTCAGTCTTCAGGCCTGAAGTGTCCAGTCCCATCTGCACAGCGACCACAGTGGGAATCAGTAATGGGGACATGAGTGACTGCAACGCTCTCTGTGTTGGGTGATCTTTCAATCCAGGTGCTGTTGAACCCAGAAGACCCTTAGAGACATTTGTGACCCTACTGATGATGTGAGTTATGAGTGGCCACCAGTTGCCAAAGCCATCCACCCAGAGGAGGTGGTTTTGCTATGCTCTGATGTAAGGCCTGAGCAGTGCCTGAGGTCCCTCAGGAGGTAGTGTGACCACAGTTTACACTGACAAACCTGAGGGAAGTGTAAGTAAGCTAAACCGGACACCTAAAGCATTGCAGTCATGGCAGAAATCTCAGCCTGAACTGCATCCTTGACTCTGACATCTCAATGCCACCCCAGAAATGGGGTTTCAGCACTGGGCTCAGAGCCATGGTCACAGTCTGATGTCCTTGGGTTGCAGCAAGTGTGCTGTTCACCCCAACTGCAAGCACAGCCAAATCCCACCTGCTGGAAACTACTGGAACGGCTGGAACCAAGGGAAGGCAGTACGTGGAGCCAGGATGCATGCCACCACCAAAGACCCTCTGAGGCTTAATTCCCACCTGCAGCAATACTGGACCTTCAAAGCTCATTTAGTACAACCCCTCTGCAATGAGCAGGGACATCTTCTTGATCTAGACCAGAACCACATCCAGCCTGGCCTTGAATGCCTCCAGTGATGGGGCATCCACCACCTCTTTGGGCAACCTGGGCCAGTGTTTTGCCACTCTCATTGTACAGGTTTTTTTCCTTGCATCCAGCCTGAATCTCCCTCTTTTAGTTTAAACCCATCACCCCTCATCCTGTCACAACAGACCTTGCTAAAATGTCCCTCCCCATCTTTCTTATAGGCCCTTTCAGGAACTGAAAGGCCACAGTAAGTTCACCCTGGAGTCTTCTCTTCTCCAGGCTGAACAACCCCAATGCTCTCAGCCTTTCCTCACAGGAGAGGTGCTCCAGCCCTCTCATCGTTTCTGTGGCCCTTCTCTGCACCTTATCCAACAGTTCTGTGTCTTTCCTGTCCTGACGACTCCAGAGCTGGACACAGTACTCAAGGTGTCTGATGTCTCCAAGCATGTCTGATGCTGGTCTTATTAAAGCAGTTAGAACCCTAACCCTGGCACATGAAGGCCAGGGACCAGTGGCTATGAGGCTACCAGTGCTCACCACTGCTCCTCTGGCATCACTGCTGGGGTCTTGGGCTCCTCTGCACTGGCCACACAGCTTGGCTTCTGTTTCAGGCTGTTATGGTGATCCCTCTGTACTAGGGACCTTATGTAGATCCTTAAACAAAGGTCTTCTGTGGGAGAAAGTCACAGAGCTTTCTCTCCCAAATGCATTATCTGCATGAGAGGTGTTCTCCACAAGAAGGGGACGCTCCCTGCCATCCCTGGCTGACTTTGCCTCTGTGGACAAAGATCTGTCATCATCAGTGGGAGCTTGTTCCAAAAGGATTCCAGGACAAAATTTGTCATTTGCTGTGATGACACATTGGAGTTTAAAAGAATCCCCAAAATAGAATGGTTTGGGCAACCTCATCAAAGAAAACTGATTTATAGTTGTTGCACATCGTTGCTCGGTCAGACCCTCACCTCCCTGTGAGGTTTTGCAAGGGGGTTTATGCTTTGGAGTACAAGTTGGACATCACCTTCCCTGGCCAGAACAAGCTGAACCATCCAGCCTTAAATCTCAGCTGCACCAGGAACCTGCTGAAAAAGCATAGGGCAAAGCAGCACCCGGGAGAGGTGGGAAAGAGCAGCTCAGAAATAGATAAACAATATATGTGCTGGTTTTGCAATTTTTCTCCCTGCAATGGAGTGTGCAGCAGGCAGCAGCTACGGCGTTTCGCAAGCAGCATCGAGAGTTCTCCCCACCCATCACTCAGGGTGGGACGCTGTCATGTTGCATTGCCTGCGCTTTGCCCTCCAGCCTGGGAGAAACCTGCTCCTGACGTGTTTATACGGAGTCCTTTACTTCTCTCTGTCTGCTGCTCTAGAAACAAACAAATTGCAAGGGAAAAAATGAGAGCCAGGTAATGAACTGATCGCGTCCTTAGATGCACAAGTCAGAAACACCCAGTTATCTGGGAGAGCCTCCGACGTGGAAAGGCAGCACTGAGATTGGAGCATGATTGTCAGGGCTTCCAGAGAAGCCTTGCCTCTGTGCTTCTGCTTCTCTGGAAAGCAGGATGAAGAGAGGGACTTTTCCTCTTAAACAAAAGCCAGGAATGGGCTTGCTGTCATGGTTGGGATAATGCCGGTTTGACTTTCTCTCTAGCACCAGTTGAAATAAGAGGTTAAAGAGATTTATTTATGTTTATCTGTCTTGTGTGACTCTTGGATATTCCAATTAATGTTCCTAAAGTGGTCCCATATGGCAGGCTGAGAACTGGGCATCCACAGATTCTTGTCAAGTTAAAGGCAGGGTTTTGTTGCTGCCAGTGGAGGAAAGCCCTTACTCCTTGGGTCTGATAAGAGCGCCTTTGTGCTATCAGTGCTCATCTTTGCTGGCTTTCCTCCTGGTGCCTGCTCTCCTTGTTTTAATATGAATGAATGGCTCCCAAGGCTTGGCCTCAATCATACAGACTCATTTCACAGCAGGGAGGAGAAGTTCAGGGTAAAATTCAGGATGTTGGCGTTGCCTGGCTGCACGTGAGCATCCTCCTGCATCCTACCAGTGCAGGGCACTGCCAGTGTGTGATGGTCTCTGGCTGAAAGAAGAGACCTACCAAGCTGCCCTGACTTCTTGAGTCCCACAGGGAGAAGTCTTGGTAACAGCCTGTGCTCCTCTATAATGGTTTCTAGATCTTGCAGTGCAGAGGGAATTGCTGCTTTCTGTCTCCACCCTGCTTTGAGGGACTTCCTTGTCCTTTCCAGCATCGCTGTGCATTCCTAAAGGGAGGAGGTGTGGACCTGGCCCACCTGCCCCATGCAAACACCCCCGAGCAGAGGGCAGATGCAATCCAGGGTGTTAGGAAATCTGGGCGGTTTATGAGGTTTGAAGGCAAGAGATTGATTATTTCCTTTCACTAATGCTGCTCTGCATAGGGAGAGCTCCCTCCACACATAATGGCATCAGCAAAAGTTATGAGATTGTTGTCAGGTGGCTCTTTAAACCACAGACTATGTAATAGCATCACCTTCACCTTCAGACAGTCACCGCTTCTCCAGACAGCAGAGTGCCTTGCTTCTCCCTTGCTGTGCGTCCTATCTCACTGATCGCTGCATCCAGCAGACAGATAACAACAAGGAGAACTCCATTCTCTTGGCCATGGTTGCTCCAGACTTAGACGTGGAGGTCTCTGACTTAGACTGGTGAACGTCTGAAATGGGGACACAGGTTTTAGTCTGAGAAAGCAGCTCTTAAGGCACAGACACAGCGCTCTGCCGAGATCAAGAAGCAACCAGGTCAGCTACATCCATGCAAGGGTTCATAGAGGCTATTTGGCAAGCAGGTCTGAAATCCACTGGAGCTGGCAGGAGGCTCCTCATTGATTTGGAGGCTTTGGATCAGCCTCCTGCTGCAAAGAGGAATTCTAAGATACCAATTAGGTCCGTGCCACTTGAAAGAGATTAAAATGGGCTCAGCCAAGCATCTGGTAGAATCAGCAATAAAAGTCATGCACTGACTTTGGTAATGAGCTTCACATCACACGGGAACTATTTTCCCATGAGTTTGCAAAAGGCTTCCCCGCCCTGCCAGGACCTGCACTGACTTGCTGCTCAGGGCTCCCTGTGTTGCAGAAAGGTGTCTTTCCAAACAGGCGGTCGCTTTGCTTCACCCATCCTCTCGGGGCTGGCAAGGAAGAGGACAATGCTGCACACCACCATAAAACACAGCAGGAAATAGAGAATTGATAATTCTCTATCTGTAAACACAGACAGCCTCACACCTTCCCTCACCCGCTCCGCTGGCGGAGAGCCCGTGTGAGTACACAGGAGAGCAAACAATAGCTTTAGATAAATAACAAGTTGGCTCTTCCATGGTGAGCTGAATTGGTTTCAGCAAATGCCCAGGGGCTCCACAGCTCTGCCAAGCTTCTGACAGCCCTACAGAATAATCCCAGTTTATACTGACTCATAAAGGAAAACGACAGGGCTCACGTCTAACAAGCTGCTGCTCCGTCCTCCAGCCCGCAGTGAGCCCTGAGAGTGGGTTCCCCATCCACAGGGCAGCAAAGTCCCTCCTGCACCCTCCTGCTTGTCCCATCCCTCACTGTCCCAAGGGATTCTGAACCCAGAAATATAAGCTCAAAGTGAGAATGGTGTCACCCTTAGGACATGCTCTTCTGCAGTGGGGTAGATCAAGACTTCGTGAGAGGTCTCTGCATGCGTGCTGCACTCAAAACCAGGATGGAAGAGAACCTCCATGTGTGGCCACCCTGGGAATCCCAGTGGGCTTTCCTGGGTGCCAGGGAACCCCCCGAGACCCATCACGTGTACCCATCTGCCTCATCCTTGCTCTTCTCATCGCATGCAAATGCTTCCTCCAAGTCCCTGGGAGCTCTACAGGATGCACCAAACCTGTTACCGGCTGTGCTGCAGAACCAACAGGTTTTTTCTGTGTCCTCTGGAGTAAATGCAAAGGGAATTTGCTCCTCTTTTCTCCCCTTCCAGCAATTCACCTGTTTAGATGCAAACCTGCAGAATGAAAGTATGAAAACTGCTTCAGACTGGTGCTCAAATGACAGAGCAACCTGGGTACCAGTGTAGCTGGACTAAAGGGTTTCTTCTTCCCCAGATGGCATGCCTGCTAGGTGACCCCTTTGAAAGGTCTTCAGCCGTTACCTGTGCAGCTCTCTGGGATGCAGCAGGGAGGATTCACTGCATTCCTGAAGATCAGTGTGTTAATGGAAATATTGGGCTTAATTAATTAACATAATAACAATGCTGCAGAGTGCTTTAGACAGGAATGATGCTGAGTGTGCTCAGCGCTGGGATGAAGCCGGAGCAGAGCAGCGGGTCTCAGGGCGAGCATGCAGAGGACACCAATGGCTTTGTCATGTGTTGTTTCTAGGTTAGGAAGGATGGATATTTTCCAGTGACATAACCATTGCACCAGGCACAGACTATTGTTTCCATGGAAATAATAAGGTGCTGGTGTTGACTATTTTAATCCCATCCCAAGGGATCCTTTGGGTGGCTTTTACATGCCTGTTTGCTGTACGTCTCAGAGATCTGCTGAGGGAGAAAGAGCTCAATATCATGGGGCAAACAGCACTAAAACAGCTCTATTGTTTCCCTTACTGGAGTACACACCTTAATGACTTGGTTTTCACTCAAATACCACCCTACAGGCTTCCAGGTGACAGAAGGTTTAATATTGCAAAAGAATGTGGGATTCAATCCTGGTGTACGTGGGGCAAATCTGGATGGCTTCTGGTGAAGTGGTGAAGATACCTTGAACTGACAGCAGGCAGCAATAGCTGTTTTCTCATTGGATTAATTGTAGTTGGGATTTGTTACTGACTGGCTTAGTCATCTCAATATTCCCCATTGTTCTCTGAACATCCCATTACATGAACTGATACCAGACACCTTGTAAGTCATAAGCAGATATTCATTGTCTCCACTTGTTTCTTGGCAGAATGAGATTCAACAACCCTTTAGTGATTTTTCACTCCGTTTATTCCCTTCCTAAGGAACTTAGAGATGGAAGGGGAGCAAAATAGCATAAAGAAATTAAAAACAAATGCAGGCAGCGCTGGAAGCTCAGAATGAGGCATCACTCACTGTGATAGCAAGAGATGTGATGTGGGCCCCTCTAAGTACAGATTGGGTTAGACCCCGTGTGTTGGAAATGGCTTTAACCTGCCAGAGGGGAGACTGAGATGAGCTCTTAGGCAGAAGCTCTTCCCTGTGAGGGTGCTGAGGCGCTGGCACAGGGTGCCCAAAGAAGCTGTGGCTGCCCCATCCCTGGCAGTGTTCAAGGCCAGGTTGGACACAGGGGCTTGGAGCAAGCTGCTTTAGTGGAAGGGGTCCCTGCCCGTGGCAGGGGTTGGAGCTTGATGAGTTTTGAGGTCCCTTCCACCACAAACCAGACCATGATCCTATGATTCTATAAAATAAGGCATTTTGTTTATTGCCGGGGTCATGCCTGAGCTTTCAATTCTGTTTTAAAGCTGCTGGATGCCATTTCCTGATCACTCAGTATCCCCACATTTCAAGAGAGAGTTCGGCACCTCTGCAAGCGTTCGCTTGTAAATTTACCTCTTGTCAATTTTGGGCCACAAACAGACCTGAGGCGGGGGAATCTGGTGATGCTCACACAGGAGCGGGCTTGTCCGCGTCAACCTGCAGCTCCGTCCTTGCCTAATTTCTCTGTCCTCTCTTTTCCCACTGTCCAGCTGTACAACGGGACGCTGAAGAGGGACGTGGAGAACAGGCGCTACAGCTCGTACAGCCAGATGGAGGGCTGGGGGGGCAAGCACTACAGCAAGGCTGTCTGCAGCCCCGCCAGGGCCGGCAGCGACTACTGCTTTGTGCCCAACATCAAGAGCAGCCGTAGCGAGCCCGACCTCTACTGCGAACCACCCCGGGGCACGCTGAGGAAGAGCCAGGTCGGGGGCCGGGCAGAGCACAAGGCAACCTTGAACCGCCAGAGCATCTACAGCAGCTGCAGCACCCAGCAAGGAACTACCAGGACAAGTAAAAAAATGCCAGCACGAGCCCTCTCCTGCCCCTCAAGCAACAAACCCGACGTGGTCTATGCCCAACCCATGATGAGCTGCAAGCAGGACATGGTTTATGGACAGGCTCAGTCCGGCTCCAAGTAAGTCTGCTGCGACGGGATGAATCTGAGTGCATGTAGGCATCTGCTGTGGAGCTCTGCCCACCCGAGCTAGTCATCTGAGCTACTGTATAGGCACTGGAGATCTGCTCACCAGTGCACACCGTGCTTAATCACATCCTGCAGTAGAGTCTAAAGTGGGTCAGATGAGTCACAGTCTTAAAGGGCTCATTCCTTTTCATGGGCTATGGAGGGAAACCAATATGGCTCAGTATATCTGTGTGATGCTGGGCAAGATGATCCCCCAGTCTCTGTGATGGCATTAGCTGACAGCTCCTTTGCAAGCTGAGGGTGGGGAGGTGAAGAGGAGGAAGCTTTGTGTGCAATTGAGGTGCCTCTCCTGCTGTCACACTGCTTTGATTTGGCAGAAAACCAACCTAAAAATATCAGCTTGCTTTGAAGGAGTTGGTTCCTGAGGGTCTGACTCAGAGCAGAGCTGAGAACATGCTGAGTAGTTGTATTTACTCCTCTCTTTCCACCCAGCCCTTGCTTCTATCAAAAGGTCTGATTTGGCTTCCAGAAAATAATTGGGTCAGAAATTGAAATAAAACCCCCAATTGGAATAATTTATCTATCCAGGAAAGAGAAGGAAATGGAAGCTGTTCAGTTCCTTCCTGTCCAAAGCATCCGGTCCCACTGGGGTTAGGAACTGTGCAAGGGTGGAGGATGGTCCTTCATGTCCCAGCATCAGGTCCCTTCTTGTAAAAGCTGCCTACAACAGCAGGGCATGTAAAACACACGAGTGAGCTCAGACAGCCCCAAGCTGATGTATCTGTGCAGCAGAACTCTCATGACAAAGAGACCTGGTGGGGTTTTGATGGCATTGCAGTGGTGTTGATTCAAAGCTGCCCTGATGCTAATAGCAACGCTGCCTCTGGCCGGCACTGGAACACCAACTGTATTCTGCCTCCATCTGTGAAGAGCTTTGGTCTGCACAGCTGCAGTCTTGGAGGACTCTGGTTTGTGTGGCTTGAAATGCACTGCTGTTGCTGCATCATTGTCACACCGGGCCTGCTCTGCACCAATGCAGAGGTTATCACAACGCCCAGCCAGACATGGCAGCTTGTCACACAAACCCTAGAAGCTCCTGAGCTCATTCCTGGTAGTCCCTAGTACAAAAGAGAGCTTACACACTGCAGTACAACAGTGAGGCCAATTAACTGGGCCCATAGGCTTTGTCCTAACTCACACCAAAAGCTTGAGACTGTTGAGCCATTGGCCCAAGGCATGATGTAGCTACAGAGAAAATCCTGCCTCAGAGTCATCGCTGTGAGCCAAGTCATACCCTTTATCACACGGAAATGTTGATTTCCAGATTTCTCTGCTCATTCTCTGCTCAGCCTCCCTCTTTCTGTATTGAGTAGATGTCCAGAGCGTGTATGCTAAGAAATGTGACTCACCCATTAGCATTGTTGCCATGAAACCTTAGCTTCCCATGTGCCCGGTTACTCCATGTTTAACACATGCAAAATTAACCCAGGCCCACTCAGAGCACCGGTGGCGTTGGTTTGCTCCTTTCAGAAGCTTTGTAATCCTTCTGGAGCAGGAAACAGACGTTACAGAAACTGGAAGTAACTTGTTCGAGGGAATTTCTGACTAAAAGAGTGGTGGGAGGGATGGCAAAATGATTAAACTTCCCTTCTGCCCAGGGAAAATGCCGCTCTTCAGAAGTTAGGCTCTGTCCAAAGCAAGCTTGCACTGCACAGTGCTCTTGGTTATAGACTTGGCCATCGCTTTGGAAAGGTCACTTGAAGAATAATGGCATTTTCTGAAGAGAAGAACTGCTGTTGTGAGAGGAACGCTCTCCAGTGCCGGCTGCCCTTCGGTTAGGGAGTGGCTCCATTTATACACTTCTGGCTCGGGGCATGGCTCATCTGGCAGAACTGGTTCTGATGTGGAAATGTCGGGCTTCACGTCGCTGGTAGGCTCAGCTGGGGCTGTGTCCCCTGAGTAAATCTGATTTGGCTGGTGCACACCCCCTGCTCCCCCAGAGCTGCATTCATTGGAGGGGGCTTGTACAAGCGCCTCTTGCTCTTGACTCGAAGGGGACGAGGTTGGCACGAGTTTTGCAAACATACTAAGGAGCTATCCTGTTTGAAAACAGTACTTATTTGGAAGGCCATTAGCCCTTGTAATAGGGTGTCTGGCAGGTCGCTGTTAGCCTTGGTCTGTAGAGTGCTTTTTATGGGGAAGGGGCCTCCAGGGATGGGTTAGGACCGTGTCTGGGCTCTTTTTGCTGTGTAGGACTGTTTCTGGTTGGAGGATTCTGCACTTGGAGAGCTTGATTTTCATTTGGGTAGGTTGATCTGTGGGCAGGGAGAGGGTTGCTTGTAGGCATCCCATTATTAACCTCTGCATGCAGGAAGAGGGCTTACCTGGGTAATAGCTGCTGGTAGTTCCCTGTTTGGGGCTCTGTTCTTCCTATTCTAGCAGTTCTTTGTGTAGAGGTTTTGCCTTTGTAACAAGGATAATTTTGTGTTCAGTTTTCACGCTGCAAATCTCCTGTGTAGGTGGGTATCTTGTCTGCAGGTTAGCAAACTGTGAGCACAAGGAAAGGATAGATAGTTTCCACAGGGATCCAGTGGGGTGATTTCCGTTGCTGTGAGAGTGATTGCAGTGGGACATGCGATCCACTGGGGCTGTCTGTGATGCAGAACTCCTCTGTAATGCAGTGACTATGGACAGTGTCAGTGCTGGTTCAAGACTGATGCACCTCAAGTGTCCTGTGCTACAGATCTGACCCCTTTGGATGATGTGAAAAAGGGGCCATTGGACGCACATTCCCAGGTCATGAGAGTGGGGTGTAGGCATCAAAATACTGAGCATGCAAGCACTGCCAAACTCTCTGCACTGAGCAGATAGTTCAGTTATTTGTAGATTGGTCACAAAGCTATTTGATTTCTGGAACTACTCTTGCTTATGTGATTGCTTCCATTTATTGCACTGGCTTTGGCTGTGTCAGGCATGGAAGAGCTGTCATTTTGATAACTGTCTCTCAGAAGAGTTCTTCCTCTTACAGAAGCCACTCTAGCTGCCGAAAGCACCTTTCCTCCAGCTAGCTGATGAGTAGTTCACCTGAATCTTTTTAGAGAGAAAGCATTCAATGATTCTACGATAAACTAAACCACGATGTAGGGTTTTACTCATCCCATAGTATTGGTTCTGGTGATGAAGTCTGTTTTGCACTGTTTGCTCAGATCAGGAGGTTAAACAGTACTGACTTGCTTTGAGAAACCTCCTCCTGAAGTATATTCTCTTCCACCACCCCATCATTATGATCCTGCCCCAGTGAGCAGAAGAGGGAATTTCTGATGTCCCTTCCAGACATACTTCTCACTAACTGCTCAGGGGATTAAACCTTTGTAAGCATTATGTCATATCTGGAGCAACATTTCCAAGCTCAATGCATCTGTTCTGGGCTCAGAAGTTCATGGGCTATTCTGGTGGCTCCTGCCCAAAGGCAGGTCTCAATGAGCAGCACTCACTTTTTGCCACAGTGCAGCTTTCTGCAGTGGCAATGTCAGTGCCCCTTGGTTAACTCCAGGGGAAAGCCAGATGTCTGAGCTGGAGACGTTGCAGAGAGGCCACACTAATCTCATCTCTTGTGAAGGATTCAGAGTATTCTTATTTGTGAAGATGAAGAGGTGAGCTGGGATGCTTGCAGACATTCCCCAGTTGGTGATACTGATCAGGAGCCACTAATGGACACCTACACTGTGTGTTGTCTCCCATAATACCACATGCACCTTTGGCCTTATTTTAAGATGTGGATGCATTTCCCTTTGGTGTTCTCTGTGCATTGAGCAATTGCTGTGGAGCTGTGAGTGATGCTGCCCTGGCAGGGTTTATATCATTGCACATAGAGAGGATCCCCTCCTCCCTGGTTCAGTGTGTGTGCCCAATTTCCCTGCTATCTCTGCACTAAGCAAAGCCTGAGGGGAAGCTCCAGTTGAGATTGCAGTGGCATCATAACCTTGGTACCATGTCCCAGAGGTGGATGTGGCTGCTTGGCATGGAGCATGGCTACTGGGTTTGCTCCAGTGTGGCCTGACTATGGAAGTCTTGGATGCGCTGGACACTCTGAGTGTCTTCATTCTGATTTTGTTAATGAACGATGGAATTTGTTAGCATTTTCTGGCTTTCTCCTCTCCTGGGAATTGTAGCCCCAACAACCAGGATGGAGGCTTAGATCTGGTTAGCACAAACCAATCTGCTAATAAAAAGTGAACAAAAGGCTTTAGTATCAAATCAGGGAATTTGCCTTTCTGTGATACTGATCCTCTGAAGTGTTTGTTTCCCTTCCACGCCTGAATCTAATCATCTAATTTGTCTCCTGTTGAATCATTTCTAATTGAGGTGTCTCCCGGTTCTGATTGCTTCTTTCTTGTGGAAGAAGAACAACGTTTGGAGCTCTTCCTACCAGGCACATGGGCCCAGGTTGGAGATGGCCACAGTCCAAGAATTTGTCTTGGAGCAGGCTGTTGTGCTCATAGTGTAGATCTGGTTGGGAATATCCGTGACCGGTTGATGAACGATCTCCCATTAGCACGGGCTTTGCCATGGTGATTATGTTCTCAGTAGGAGAAACTGAGGCAGCATGACTGAGCACAACCTCCCACCCTCTGTGAACTTCTGTTGGTGAGCCAGCAGGGGAAATGGAACCTTCCCCATCTTTTCCCACGCAGAATTGGACCCGGATGTGTCCTTTTTCCATGCTGAAGGAGGATTTTGCCCTCTTATGTAGTGGATGTGTAGGAAATTGCCTTCCTTGAGTAGCTGGACCAATAACGGATGTCCTTTCCCATAAAAAGTGCACCTCATAGAGGGGTTTTTCTCAACTGGATAAATTATAAAGAAAAGAGGTCCCTCTGGTGCTCCGTATGCTGGTTCCATTGCACTATTGTGTGTCTCAGGAGCGTGAAAAAGACTAGGCGAAAAATCACAGCATCCTGGATCCAAACCAAAGATTTCTGAGATTCTCTAGTTTCTAGTTTAAGCTTTGTCTTTCCAGTTTTGTGCTCCCATGCTGCAAGTACAATGGAAGTTTCCTGGAGTTTTGATAAAGTTACAAACTTGGAAAATCATATGATGAACTGATGTTTTATTGTTCATATAGAAACAGAAGTGGAACGAGGTTCAGCTAACATTAGACAATGATTAAGGTCCAGTCCCAGACTGTGGTCTGTCATTCCCATATAGCAGCAGTGGCAGAGGTATCTTCAGTGGGCAGGTCTTCCTGTCTTAGGAAAAATGCCTAAGACACAGGGCAGGCTGTTCTTTGGACATACCTATGTCTCTCCATTAACTACACAGGTGCTTAAATAAGTAATTCAAACTGAATGCAACTTTCTACCAGTGAGGGTAGGGGAGACAAAAGGTTCTCTTGCAGTGTCACAGCAGTTGTTGGCTTTTGATGTGTTTGTTATGGATTTCCTATCGGATTGTGGGTATTACTCTGTGCTGTGAATAGGAGCTGTGAAAGGAGATGAACCTTTGGGTGCTTAAGGACAAAATACCTTATTGTAAGCTGCTGGTGCTGGTGACCACACATGGGTGTCCTCTCTATACCTTTATTCTCAACATTTCTTTGGCACAATCAGAACGTGTCTGCACATTCTGTGCCTAGAAGAAGCCATTCCCTCACAGTAATATTTAATACTGCAAATATAGTAAGTTCATTTAAAGAACTTAACAAAAACCACTCTGTTTTGTTAGTCTATTGGACTGTCTGATGATGTTCAGCCACTCTACATAGTCACTCACTAGTATGACATGGAGCAAAAGCTTGTATACACATTGACACAGTTCAAAAAGGAACTGATCTTCCTGATCTCCAGGTAAATTCCCCATCAATCACAGCTGGATTCTGAAAAGGAATAACATCAGACAGGCACAACAATGACCTAGTTGTCCTAGCAAAGCCCCCACACTTGATTTCATGCACTGCTAACAAAGCACTTCCCGTTTGTATCCTGCCACTGGTGTTTGTGTTTTATCCAAGTCCTGCTCCATCCCGGAGGTATGAATACCCTTCCCCTGGAGTCTGTAGGCACATTCTTTACCTATAACAGGGGGTGATGATTGTGACTAACTTCTATGAATGGCTGGAGACTACCAATATAAAGATACCCTGGGAGCAGGAAGTCTCAGTGCTATTATTAGTATTTCCTGCACTCAGTATTTGTCCATCCCATCACCCCAGACATGCCTGTCGCCTTTTCTTTCAGCATCTGTCTACTTCAGATTGTCCTAACAACCTGATGGTTGGCTTCACTCTTGTCCACAAATTCTTTTATTTGATGAAGAGTGTATACTGGTTCTCTGTTCGTGAAACCTTCCACTGCAGAATGAACAGACATCTAGCACTTCAACTGAGTTCTTATTTTCTGTCTCCTTTGTTTCTGGACAGACTGGATCTATAATTTATTGTCCTTAGTGTCCTCCACTTGGTATTTTCCACTCTTATCATCTCTTTCTTTTGAGATAGAGAAATGCACTCAGGGTGCACCATGTGGATATGATAATATTTTACATTTTGTAACTGATTCCTTCCTCATAATTCCCAGTAATGACGTAGCCCTTTGGCTGAGCACTCAACCAATGCTGTACTTCTCTTTAACACAGAATATGTGGTGATGAGATAGACGGCGGTACAATGACCATCCAGAAAGCCATACAACTCCTGTGCTCCTCTGATGACAAATACCAGGCTATGGGTGCTTACTACCTCCAGCACACCTGCTTCCAGGAGGAGTCTGCCAAGCAAGAGGTGAGCACACTCCTTCAGAGCTCTGCTGTCACACTGGATGTGGTGGCACACGAGATGGATGAAACTGGTTTCCTCAGTACCAAGGATCCATAGGTCCCCTTGGTTTTAATGAGGGAGACTTACACCTCATTAGTAACGCTCAGGAATTAATTAAGTAGATTTTCAGTTATTAGTGGCCACTTTCTCTTAGTAGGAGTCAGTGAGGATTTTAACACAGGGGAATAGTTACGAGGCAGCAGAGGAGGCTGTGTCCACATTGTCCCCGTGAGCTGCTGTGACACACATTGATGGGTTTTGGTGATATGGAGGCAGCCATCCAGATGCAGTGTCCTCTTCTGGCTGCACTTGCACCCAGTTTCACATGAATCTCACAGATGCAGCGTCAGACACACAGGATTGCTCTAAACCCCACTGTGATGCTCATTGTGCATTGTTCAGTGATATTTCAGTCATTTTCAGCCATTTCAGCTATTTTCAGCCATTTTTGCCATGTAAGCCAATGGCCAGATTAGAGATCTTGGACAAGGATATTTGATCAAACAGAAGCACTTCTTATAGTGAAGCTTATTTTTCTTATGCTCTTACTCTCCCATTACTACATTTGCGCCAACACGCAGCAAAGGAGGCAACCTCAAGGATGGATCTGCTGTGGCACGACTGTCACACAAGTTTATCCCGCCCTAGCGTGTTTGCAGTCATACAGACACGGGTTCATCAAGATTCCATCCCTATTGAGGTGGTTTTCCATTTCCTGGCACAGCAGTGGAGCGGGACATGCTGGCAGAGGATGGGAATGTACCCGTTTGTCCCCAACGGGTGCGGGTACCCCAGCCCACATCACAGCAGGGAATGGTGGGGCAGCCGCACCCTTTGTTGCTGTTGAAAACACTCTCCGAGCACTGGCCTGTCCCATTGCTTCCCAGAAGGATGTGTCAGAGCAGGCGTGTGAGTCACCCCGGAGCAAGCTTGTTTGCTGCCCTGTCTAAAGGGTGCTCTTTCATGTCCTGTTGTCAGCAAGGTCTCCAGCCCATGGGTTGGTTCGTGCCAGGAGGGGCTCCATGTGGGATCGTGTTCCCAGAGTGGGAATGCTCATCATTCCAGTGAGAATTTGCCTTCAGAACCTCCCTGGCATCTGTGGGGTGTCCTGCAGGTTGGGGTTCACACCCCTTTCCAGTGCTGCCCCTGCTGAGTGCTGTGGCATGGCCCAGCACTGCTTCTGGCTGACCTGGAGGGTGTTTACGCTGTACCATGGCCGTCTCTCTAAGCTCAGCCTGTGATTTCAGGATGCAGATAAATTACCACATCATGTTATTATATTGCTATAAATGGCCTCTACAGATAGCCAGAGCAACAGTTCCACCTGATGCAAACTGACAGAGGTAGGAGAAAGTTTGTGGGAGCCAGCACCTTTCATCAGCAAAGGGTTCAGTCCATGGCCATTACTCATAGACATCTACTTCTAGAGTTTCAGCTCCAACCTCAAGGCCAGCACCTTTGTGTTCATGACCTATGGCCCGAACCAGATACGTCATCTGTGAGTTCTAGCCATCCTTTCCTGCCAGGTCTGCTTTTCCAGCTTCCCTCCTTCTGTGCCATGTTGACTGCTTGCATTGCCATGACAGTTCCCTGTCCCGGTGATGCTCCGCACCCTGTACTGATGGCAGCATGTCTCTCCTGGTGCAGGTCTATCGGCTGGGGGGAATTGCCAAGCTTGTGGAGCTGCTCCGCAGCACAAACCAGAACGTACAGCGGGCAGCAGCCGGAGCCCTCCGGAACTTGGTCTTCAAGAATCCAACCAACAAGATAGAAACCCGGCGGCAGAATGGGATAAGGGAGTGCGTGAGCCTCCTGCGGAGGACAGGGAACACTGAGATTCAGAAGCAGCTGACAGGTACACAGCAGACTGCTCAGCCCTCAGCAAGGACCATGCTTCTCCCTGCCTGTGGTCCGTGGCGCTCCAGCACGCAAAGGCCCAGTAGCCATGGCACTGCCATAGCACAAAGTGGATGGTTTATGTTCCTGTCACACCGAATGGCAGTCTAAAACAGAAGGCAGTGATGGTCTTGGCCTTTCAATGTCCCGTCAGGGTTCCTCACACCATTCATGTCCACCGGAAACACCTGGCCCAGGTTTCCCCCCACAGCTATGATCATCCTGCCATTCCCATGCCTTTCTGCACCCCTGGCCTCTGTGATGCTGCCAGGGAAGGCCAGCAGTGTTGGCAATCCCAACATGGTTGGGCAGGTTATCTCACTGGAATCTCATTTTTCTTGAAGGATTGACATGGCAGTGCTGGGGAATGATGATCTTGAAGGTCTTTTCCAATCTGGTTGATTCCATGACTCAATGGCTCCATGACATGGGTTTGTTGGTGCAGGTCACCCTCAACTGTGACTGAGGTCTTGTGTGTAAGCCTTCATGAGATCACTGGGGTGATGCCTTCCCCCCTGCAACCCAATGGCCATAAACAGCGATTATGGGAGGAGGGAGGATGCTTAGATACCCACCTCCACCCCAAACACTGCTGCTGGTGCCTGTCCTGCCTGTCTCCAATAAGGATGGACAGAGCCTAGGATTTAGGGCAGCCTCTGCACCCTTAGTTCAAAGAGGGACGCAAAGAAGAAGGACTTTGTAGCTGGAATTCACTCTGGCCTAAAGGAAGTTTCTAATGCATGGTGACCCTCTGCTTGAGCTTGTCTTCTGCCTCCTTCCTAGGACTGCTCTGGAACCTCTCCTCCACTGATGAGTTAAAAGAAGAGTTGATACAGGAGGCCCTCCCCGTCTTGACAGACTGTGTTATCATCCCTTTCTCTGGCTGGTCTGATGGCACCTGCAATAGGACAAGAGAAATTATTGACCCAGAAGTATTCTTCAATGCTACAGGGTGTTTGAGGTGAGTCATCACGCAGAGATTTACTGCAGCTTGTGTATGTTGAGAAACGCTGAAGCTGTCTAAATCACCTTACAATAAGCTAAAGACATGCTCGCTCCAATTGCATTAATACAAATCTCTCCTTTGAGAAAGCTTTCCTGACTAAGAGAAGGTGCAGACAAATGTAAAACGTTTTTCCTCGTATTTCCTAGCATTATTAGACAGAAAACATTCCCCTACTGCCTTTAATAACTGGTTAAGCCCAGAGCAACCCCATTGCCCTGGCCTTTTTCTGGCTCGTATCATCAGGCTGGCCAGAGGAGGTGCAGACTGAGCCCTGAGTAGTTTATTTTGTTCACGGGAAAGCCAGATCCCTTTCGCAGAGGCTCTTCGCCCTGACTTGCTGTTTCTCCCACCACCCTCCTCCACTTGGATGCGAGATCCTCGTCTCGTTGGGAACAAGTGGGAAAGGAAAAAAAATGCCCTGTATAATTAGGTACTTTCATCAACTGAAGCTCTCCCCGAGGGAGTGCAGCACCAACCACACCCTTACCAGACATGCAGCTAGTAGGAGCTGTATCTGCTTATGAAACGAAGTGGGTGAATGCAGTGGGGGCCTTTTGAGACGTGATACTATCGTCTTCTGTGGCTGGGAACCGTGTCTGAAAGATAGAGAGTGCTGCTCCCTTCCCCGTCTCAGAAGGCACCTTCCCCGTGCAGGGAATGTTGGGGTGTGTGGTGTATGCTCATGTGAGGTGCTCCACTTTTAAGACCATCTCAACCCACCAATGCCATAAAATACCCCATTAAAATGAGGGAAAGGGTAGGGTGGTGGCTTGTAAAATGAGCTCTCCATGGAGTTTGGCTCAGGGTGGGCTCTGTCTCCTGACTGTGGCAGTAAAATCCAACACCCCAAGCGAAGTCTGCCAGATGCAGGTCATGCAGGGAGCAAAAGAGGCTGGGGGGAGCAGGACTGGGGAGCAAGGAAAGCAGAGTGGTTGTGTCCAGAGCCCCTGCTCTGAGGGGTGAGCCAGGATTGCTCTGACTCACTGCCCTGCCACATCATAACACAGAGATGAGAACAGCCTTGTGTTTGCCCTGGGCTCCAGCCATTGCTGCTCAAGCATTTCTGGATTGCAGATGAATTCATGTTAATGAGGAGGCTGCAAATCACAGTGAACACCAAATCCAGTTCTGGAATGCCTGGAGTGAATATCTCACAAGGACTGCCAACCTCTCTTTGTTTTTCATTTGCAAGCTACAAAGCAATAAAACAGGGAAGAGAAAAAAAAACACCAACAAAGCAACAAAAACCATTTCCTGTTACTGGAAAATCTCCCCTGTCCTGGCAGCAACCAGTGCTCAGGAATACACTACACCATTACAAACTGGTCAGTCCCTTTGGTCAGAGTGATTGCCGCTCTTCAGCCTCTCTGCCCCCTGTTTCCCACACCAATATTGCCGTTGACCCTTCGTAGCTCCATACTTGCAACCAGATTCACCTTTCTGATTTCCACAATCATCTCAGCTGGTCCTTATTCAGTCTTCTCTTTGGAAACACCTCCAAGGAGGTGATGAGTCTGTGTAATGTCACATGCATAGCCTCTAAGGCAAAATACTGCTGATAGTTACTCTCACTAGGAGGATGTTTTCTGCGCAGAGCATCTTAAAGGGACACTTTCCTAGATGAAATCAATCCTAAAGAGCACCAAGAGGGCTGTGCACCGCTGCAGTCCTGCAGAGGGTCTCCACACTGACAGCAGTACACCAGCCTTGCTGAATCTACAGAAACATCCTTAAATTCAATGATACCCACAGCCAGAACAGAGCCCATAGGGAATGGTAAGCGAACCCAACTAATCCTCTCTCCTCCTTCGTTCCTGGCATGCTCTGCGATGGCTTCCTTCAGAAACCTGAGTTCTGCAGACATGGGGCGCCAGACCATGAGGAATTACCCTGGCTTGATCGATTCAGTCATGACTTATGCCCAGAACTGCGTGGCTTCCAACCGACCCGATGACAAGGTACCAGATGCTCACCCCAAGCTCTTTGCTAGCATTCAGCCCCGTAGTTAATCGCTGCAACTTCAGGAATACCTCAAGATCTCTTTCAAACAAACACAAGAGGGGACTGCACCCTTTGTGGCTGCTCTTGTCCTTCCAAATCCCAGTGCAGACTGTTGTAGGATTGCGGTCTTCCGTGCTCTAGGCTTGAAATAGAGGTGGGTTTACAGTTTCCCTTTAACAAACAGAGAAACATCAAAGTATTTTGGCTCCTGACCCCCCAATATGTTTTCCATCCTTTCACTCCCACCCTGGAATCCTTCCAGCATGTTATCCACCATCTATCTCTCTTCCCACCGCTACATCACTTCATCCACCAGCACTCAGTAAGTCCCAGATTGGCACTGCATTCAGCAAGAAGCCAAGAGCTGGCATTTCTCTGCCAGTCCCCTAACTGTGACTGGTTGCTATGTGTAAATGGCCTTATGTTGGATAAAATAGCATTTATAGCCATATTTTTAGGAGCTGGACATCTGTGATACTAAACAGATACCCTAAAGTCCTCAGTGCCCAGTAAGTACCAAAATTACTTCAGATGAGCTCAGGATTAAGCAAATCATCTTTTGGGGATGGCTTTTGCAAGAAGATCGATTTCAGCAGCACATACTGAACACAGCTCTCTGGAAATGTAAGCAGTTTTTGATGCTGGTTACAGGTGTCTAGTGGAAATTCTCCCTTACTCTTTACACTGGGAACTCTGACTTATAGGTAACAGAGGCTTAAAAGCCCCTTCTTAATAGAAAGTGTCCCCAGATCTGAAGCTGTTGCTTGGATAAAGTCATTAAAAGTTGACTTGGCAAGAGGAAGACTTTCGAGATTTGGCATTTCATGATGGGCACTTTGATACAACCACCCTCTGCTCTCTTTTCCTGTTTATCAGCTTGTCCATTACAGTGGGACCTAACAAGGTTCAGAGTCAGTCAGCTCACAGTATAGCATTTGGGCTATGTAGCCTTCATTCATGTCTATCCCCTTCCTTCCCATCATTGCTACCTTAAGCAGGGTCAGGAGCTTACATAGCATAACTGCTATAAAAAAGCTGGTTATGGCACAGTGTATGTTCTCTCTGTAGCTATAGCAGGTGCTGCTCCATGTTTTTCTGCCTAATGTGATGCTTTGATTTTTATTCTGGGGGGGATTTCAGTCTGTGGAGAATTGCATCTGCATCCTGCACAACCTCTCCTACCGCCTGGATGCTGAAGTTCCAAACAAATACACCCAGCTCAACCACATGGCCCGGAGCGTTTACATGGACAAAACTCTCACAGGCTGTTTCAACAGCAGGAGCGGTAAAATGGAGGTAAGATGTGCCACAGGAGGCTTGGAAATGTGATATTCAACCTTGGGCAGGGGCTGCGAGCAAAGAGCAAGATCTGAGCTCCCACTTTCTCGTCTCTGTAGAATGATGAGTACGGTGTCCCCCTTCCTGAGGAGGATTTTAAACCCAAAGGACCCAGCTGGCTCTACCACTCTGATGCCATCCGCACCTACCTGTCCCTGATGGATCAGAGCAAGAAGGATGCCACCCTGGAAGCTTGTGCTGGAGCTCTGCAGAACCTCACTGCAAGCCGAGGGCTGGTAAGGGCTCCTTTCTCCTCCACATGCACTCAGCCAAATGTGTCAGCACTTTACAGTAATCAGAAAGGAAAATGTCCTCCTTAAACCTCAGGGCACTACTGCAAGTCTTTGCACAGTGGATGCTCCAGCAAACTATTTATTAATGCCAAACGCAGGGTCTCATGAGGGGCTATCATCAGCATCCTAAGGCTCTATCCCAGAGCCATACACTGGGTTTCCAGGTTTCCCTAGTCTGTTGGTCATAACTACCAGCATCTACTGGTATGGCCACCCCCCGCAGGACATGAGTGAGTATGTGCCCAGATGTGCACATGTGGACAGGTGTCATTAAAGGAGTGAGAGAGGATGTGTGTGTGCCACAGCCTGTGTGTGTTTTCTAAGTGGGAGGTGGCTCTAATAACAGGGTGGGTTGTGCTCTGGATTGTGGCTCGTCCTCACATCATAGCTGCTTGTAAAATAGCTCTGACAGGTGTCCTAACCTGTAGGTATGGCAGCGTGGAGGTGACACGGACTGCGTGACACCGTGGGTATTGCAGGAGCTAGGGCACGGCAAGGCACACATCACGACAGCAGCTCTGCTGTGGCCAATGTCGTTACCGTGGGCACGTCCTTGCAAGCTGAGTTCACGTGGACAAACCTCAACTTGTCTGTTTGTGTCAAACTTCATCAATTCCAATTTAAATAAGATGGTTGGGGTGATAAAGAGATAATAGCTTCATACGTAGGGGAGGCGTGTCACATGCGCGAAGCGTTCCACCCAGAAACACGGAGTGACTCATGAATGGAGCCTTCCTAATGCTAGGACAGCATTAACTTGCCAGCTCTCAGCCCTTTGGGAGCTTTTGTTCCAAGTCTTCCAATGTGAAATACGTTGGGAACTTTTTGTGTTTGCAGTTTAACTAAGCAGTGCTGCTTAGAACAGGGTGGACAGAGGCTGTCACTGTATGGGTAGAGCTGAACGGAGGAATGGGACCGGAGCTATGTGCTCCGTGGCAATCAACATCATTACACAAGAATGGCTTTTGGACAGGGGGGAAGGAAACAAACACAGAAAAACCAGCTCTGGCAGTGTTGAAGCAACTTATTTCATCCTGGAACAGAGTGCCTGGAATTTGCCTGGTTGTGCTGAATTGGCTTCTTCTTTCAAGGGGCTTATTCCAGCTCGGAGCTGGAGTAGGGTTGGGTTGCTGGATTTGCTGTCATTTGAAGGAAAGGAAAACTGAAGCATGTGCCTCCTGGAGCATGGGTCTCAGCCCACTGGAAGGGGATTGCCTTCCAGCCCATTCCCTCTATTCCCATGTCACTGTTGATGTGTTGCTGGTTGTGCAACAATCTCCAGCAGCCTCTCTGGTGGGGCAGTAGTTGAGTTCCATTTAAAGTCTATCAAAAGGGCAGTTTATTAAGGGTATGTGACTTCAATATCCATGAACACTCATCTGCACTGGCTACATCCTGAGATCTTCTAGATTTACATAAGCATACATGAGATCAGGACCCAAGATGAGTATTTTTGGTCTTCAGACTTTTTTTAAAGGTATTCATTAGCTGTGCCTATTCCACTGCAGCCGATTACTTGGGCATGGCAGGGAGATGCAAGGGCATTGTGAAGGGCAAGGGCAACATGGCCATGAAGGTAAAACTTACCCAGCTTTTGGGAGTTACCAGTTGGATGAGCAACTGTACCCACTCAGGCCCCAGAAAGAGGACAGAAGCACCAGTTGTATCGCAGATGAGAGGCTGACTTTGCAAATGTCTGTTGAGATGAGGGGTAAATGACAAAGTAAAGGGAATTATGGTAGCAAAAGGTATACAGATCCTTATTTTACAATGTAGTCGTATTTATCTGGCCCTGTACATCATTCCAGTTGTGTCCTCCTGGCACAGAAGTCATGAGATATCTCTGTTCTGTCTCCTAGATGTCCAATGCAATGAGCCAGTTGATTGGTTTGAAGGAGAAAGGTTTGCCTCGCATCGCACGGCTCCTCCAGTCCAACAGCTCTGAAGTTGTCCGGTCTGGGGCTTCTTTGCTGAGCAACATGTCCCGGCATCCTGTTCTCCACAAAACCATGGGTAAGTCATTTCCACCACAGTGGATTCCAGAACGATGTCTGGTTTCCAACTCTTAATACCTGCCCATCTCGCTTTGTAAATGCCATAACAGGATCTAACCCAGCTGTGAAATTGAGCAAAGCAGCTTTATTTCTTCTGGCCAAAAGGACAATTACAGGAGATACCTGCAGGCTTAATTAACAAAATATGTGCTAGCTCAGTCTTTACAAGCATGTGGAATACCTTATAGACAATAGCAAATCTACAGGATCATGAGCATGATAGTGTTTGGGGAACTGAGTTGGTCTTGACTACCCATGACCAGTGTCATTGCCCTTTCAGAGACCTGCAGCACTCTTTTTGTGTCTGAAAATCAAGTGATGACCATTATGCCATTACATTATTAGTGCCTCCTCCCAGAGATAGCACTTCGCTCTTGCATTGAATAGTGCTAATGCAAATACCATCGTTCACTTGTGCTAGGCTTTGTTTAAACGTTGATTGGAACATTCCACCTCTTTAGCTCACCAGGTGCTCCCAGATGTATCACGTCTCCTGTCATTCCAGTCTGGAAATACCAACAGCTATGGAGAGATCATGACATCAGCATGTTACACTCTGAGGAACCTCATCATGTCCAACCCACACCTGGGGAAGTCTTACTTGACAAGCAACATGCTAAATAATGTAGTAAGCCTGTGCCGAAATGGGTGAGTTTGGGGCAGAAGGCATGGAGAGGGTCATGAGAAGACATTTTTGAGTCCATACGCTCTGTGCACAGCCAGATTAACCCCAGAGCGTTTCCAACACCCTTCAGAGCCTTAGCAAAGTATTATTCTTACTCTGTGGTCATAGATTAAGAGCCAAAGAAAACTCAAGCATGTTGGTACACAGAAATCCTCAATGCTAGTTTCTTGGAAACAGGCATGAGCCATCCAGGGTGAGATTTGTAAAGGGACCTCAAGAGATTTGCTGCTTGTTTTAAGAAATTCTACAGAGAACTGAAGCACCAACATCTTAAGGCCTTTTCAAACTTCCAGCCCTCGGAACAGAGGATGTCAGTACATGGCCTGAGTCCCTGGCATCCTGGCTTCCCACTCAGATCTTCCTGCAAACCCTACTATGAAGGTCAGGGCTGAGACTGAAGCACTGTGGGGTTGTGCTTAGCTTCAGTGTTCACATTTGTTCACCTTAGCACTTTTTCTGTTGCAAAGTCCATCTCAAGTGGCAAAGATGCACCTGTGATGATACATAAGTACCTCCAGTGGGCCACACACATGTATTTTGCAACAACTGGTTTGAGTTTTGATGGTAGTAAATCCATCCTGCTTGTTGTTCACACTCCTACAGCCCTGTGCAAAAGCTTGTCAACCCTTGCCAAGCTCTGTGCTCATTTCTGGCCAAACTAGTGTTAAACTTACATGAGCTTTGACCATGTGTTCTGCTTCCTAGACTTTCATCTCTCCTACCATCTGCCTTTGTTTTAAAATACCTTCTACATATAACCTATGGTTTTCTGTTGTGAAAAGATGTTTGCATGCCTTCTCCATCAACCACTTGCAATCTACCACTTGTTTCGTGGCAGGGTGAGATTCTCAGCCATTAAAAGTGGCCTCTATGTTTAGTTTGGACCTCAGCCAGTGAACATCGGTCAGTTTGCTGCTTTTATATGTTTCCACTCTCCAACAAGCCCAAGTAACATGAAACCCAGCCCTCTCCGATGTCTTCATTGTTTTCAATGATATTTACTTCTGCTTAAAGCCCCACTTTGGATCCCTCAGACCAGTCGTCAGCTAATTTACTACTTCAGCAAAGCGTTGCACAACTGGGGTTGTGCTTACCTTAATTGTCTTGACTGCTTTGTGTGATGAGCTTTGTTTGCAGTGACTCACTAAACTACGAGGAGTTACTAAACTCTGGAGATGTTCTCAGTGTGTTCCTCCTGTCTGTATCACAGATTCCTTCTGAGAAACTCCCCAGTTCTCGCAATGTCCCAAGCTCAAATTGTTCCTGTTGCCCCATTGCTCGTTTCTGTCCCCAAAGTCTTTGCTGCTGTTAAATTCTTATGGAGAAATGACAACAATTTACACCCAGGACTAATCTTACTTATTCAAGCCATATGATTTCAGACTGTTCCCACAGATCAGATGTGAAAGAGATCTCCCCACCAGTGAATTGGACACTTGGTAGTTCACAAGTTACTTCACTTCTCCCACTTTCCTGTGTAACCTGTGAAGATAATGAAGAAACTTTATGGTGGGGTTTGTGCAATCCTGCACCAGAAACAGCCTCACCCAGTCCCTGGTGATAATAACTAGATCCAACACTTTTACTGGGGGCTCTTGCCTAAGTTGGATGCAGACCCCATGTTCCTCATACCAACAATGAATGTGGCAAGTCAACACTATCAACCTCCTCCTTCGCAGCACCACTGCCAGCAGAAACAGAGAACCAAGGAGGTCTCAGTGGTGACCAAATCACCATGGAGAACACCACCATGTTACACCTTGTTAGTATTTTACAGAGTTTTTTCTAATACTCTGCCTCAATTTACCCATGAACACACTTCCCTCACCTTCCAGCACTGGTGGTGGCTTATCTGCATAATGCACGTTTCCTCTTGTTGCATTTGAAGCTGTAAATCATCAGTTTAAGATGCTCAGACAGTTTTGTATTCATAATATAGAAAGAGCTTCCATGTTACCTAACAAGCAAGTTACGGAGCTTTCCCCTTCTTGTGTTCTTCTCAAATGCCAACCATCCCTCCTCCAAGCTGAAGTTTCTTTTTCCTGATGCTTCTTGTAGCTGTATTCTGAGTGAAAGTCACAAAGGGTTCAGTAGTTTTATCTGATAGCTGTGGTTTCTTCTCCTTCCTGGAGATCCCAATTAAATAATTGTCTCCCTCCTGCACATATCCACGTTGATGACATTGCCTCCATAGTGAAGATGGGGTTTGCTTGCTCTTTGCTACTTTAAATCCAAAAATTAAGCCAAAATATTGCATATTAGCTGCTTTTTTTTTTGGTTGGTGATTCTGAAAATCAAGCTGCTGTTACTGATTTTAGTGGGACGTCTGATGGCTTTTTCATCCTTTTTCTCCAACTAAGCTGAAAAATATTCTTCTTCAGCTCATTTTCAAGCAACATTATTCCACTAATAAAATCACATCTTTTTCTCAATAATTCTACTGGCTCCACTAAAAGCTCTTCTCCAAAAGCTCTTCCTGTGCTTTAGAGCATCAGATTTGAAGTTCATCTCACAGCCCCTTTATCACTTACTTGTTTTAGTTTCTCTTTGTTCATTCACTTTTCACATCTTTTCTATTGTGCAATTTAATGTTGCAGCTTAATTCTACCATAGTATTTTACCAAAATTCACATTTCAAGAACTCAAGTTCTTGAGAACAGAGTTCTTCTCATCCACAGACTTCCTATTTCCCATTTCTTCCAAGGATTGCACCTTAATAATCAATTTTGTAAACCTAGGACATCCTGAAAAAATCCTTCTTCAAGGAATTTCTTGGCATGTCCAATTTCATGATGAGCACCATCAGTCCCATTTCTTATAGTCTGATGAGGATTATTTTGAGGACACAATGTTTTGTGAAGCTGCAACATACAGGGAGGGTCCTGATTTTGGCCTCGTAGCTCTCCTGGCTGACGCAGGCTGGGACTGGTGCACTGAGCCCAAATCAGGAGTCTCCCACAGACAGGACGAGGTCCAGGAGATGAGGAGCAGTGATTGGAACCAGCGAGGAGGTTCATATCTGGGTTGTTGTATGAAATGTTCTAAAATCATAAAAGGTGCTGCTATGACTCACGGTTTCGGAGCTGTTACGCGAGCAATTATCTATTAACTTGTGCTGAGTAAGGACTTACGGTTGCAGGAGTTGTTGTTACAAATGTTCCCATCTCCTTCATTCTCACCAGGCAGCAATGGAGCCCATTCCTCTGCTGCTGTCCCAAAGGGTTCACCCAAACTGACCCTACAGACTCCAGGGAAGGGTTGGCACCATTTCCCTTCTCTTTCACTCTCCCAACTTTCACACCCCTGAAACACTCCTTCAGCTCAGTTTAATGTTCAATTTTCCACTCAAATCCTCCCCTTATTCATTTCTCCTGTTCTGGTCCCAGAGATTGTTGCCGGGTAATGTTGCTGTGAGAGGAAGGAAGGTTTTACTGACAGCCTCCATCAAGTCTAGCCAGCCTCCCAGCCGGAGATGGCCTTATTTGAAGGCTGTCAGTAACGCATGTGGGTTGCTGCTCTGTGGCCTGCCAGAATTCACCAGGGTTGCTTTCATCTTCCCAGCTCCTGTCCAAAAGCGGCCGAAGCTGCTCGCCTCCTCCTGACAGATCTTTGGTCAAACAGGGAGCTCCAGAGCGTGCTCAAGCAGGTAAGGAGAATGCTTCTGCTTCTCGGCCGACAAGAACAACCCAGGTCTTGACTCGCTGCAGTCAAAGGCCATGATTCAGCAGCGAGCCTGGGCAGTGGCTGGAGGAGCCCAGGGCGCTGGGAGGACCACGGTGCTCTCGGCACATGGGAACCCACCTCAGATCTGAACAAGAGGCAGCAAATCACAACCGCCGCTGCTGGGACTGACATTAGGGACCAAGTGGACAGTGGTGTGTTGTGTTGGGTGGCTTGTACCCTGAGGATAATGCTAGTTTAGGTGGGCTCTTCCATGAAAGAGCCACCTTAGAGTCATAGAATCATGAAATAGTTTGGGTTGGAAAGGACCTTAAGATCATTTAGTTCCAACCCCCTGCCATGGGCAGGGACACCTCACACTAAACCATCTCACCCAAGGCTCTGTCCAACCTAGCCTTGAACACTGCCAGGGATGGAACATTCACACCTTCCCTGGGCAACCCATTCCAGTGCCTCACCACCCTCACAGGAAAAAACTTCTTCCTTAGATCCAGTCTAAACTTCCCCTGTTTCAGTTTGAACCTGTTACCTCTTGTCCTATCACTACAGTCCCTAATGAAGAGTCCCTCCCCAGCATCCTTGTAGGTCCCCTCCAGATACTGGAAGCTGCTCTGAGGTCTCCACACAGCTTCTCTTCTCCAGGCTGAACAGCCCCAACTTTCTCAGCCTGGCTCCATACAGGAGGTGCTCCAGCCCCTGCTCATCCTCGTGGCCTCCTCTGGGCTTGTTCCAACAGTTCCATGTCCCTTATATGTTGAGGACACCTTGCTCCTGGCCCCAATGCTGTTGTGTGTGCACAGCATTGCTTTGTGCTGAGAACAGACCTGGACGTTTTGCTCTAGCCTGGGAGACTCCCTTCGCTGCAGCCCGTTGTGTAGGATCAGCATGTCCAAACAGATCCCTGGCAAGGTTCCTCCTCCTTTTCCCCCCGTTTTCTTCTGTGTTCATAACCCTACCCTGTGGTTACATCACCCCTACACTCAGGGTAATCTTTTCAACCAAGAAGAGGAGTATTTAGGGTTTGTTTTGCTCCCTGCAACAGAAACTGCGGAAGCGCAGAGCCAGACGGGGCCATGAGCCAGCTCCCAGCTCACCGTGGCTGTCTTTGAACAAGTTGGGTTTTTCCAACTCCACAGCAGCAGCACCTGCAGAGAGTAAAGGGCCAAATTAAAGAGAAGGAGCAGCATCCACAAAGGGGAGCACCCTGGGGGCAGGAAGGTAGAGAGCACCTAAGTATGATTCTCATATTAACGGTTAGGGACTTTCTTCATAGGAGCTTGGGTAGCTTTGCGCAGGGCTGTGCTCAGGAGCCTGTGCCAACTCAATTTAATGTGACTGAGTCACTCTTGTGCTCACACAGATGTTCATTGCATAGGTATACATCAGATGAGAAGGATGGGAGTATGCAAGGATAAATCATGCATAAATCTTTGCCATTTTTCCAGGATGAGGAATAAGATGAAATAATGTTCAGTGAATGATTAAATAAAGGTTTCCTCCAGTAAAGCTGGAGAAGTCTGACTGTTGAAGGGCAGAAAGCAGCACGAGGAAGATGAAGTCATAGAATCATACAATAGTTTGGACTGGGAGGGATCTTAGAGCTCATCCAGTTCCAATCTTCTGCCACAGGCAGGGACATCTTCTTCTAGTTCAGGTTGTTCCAAGCCTCATCCAACCTGAACCTCTCAGAGACTTTGAAGAAGCCTCTTTGGGGAAAAGTTAGAATTAAGAAAGTCCATCAATAAGGGTGATGTGTTAAGGGCACACAGAGGGAGGGCAGAGGCTGTCCTGAAGCTGTCTGAGAACGAAACACACTCTTTAAGTGAAGGACAGCTGTTGAAGTGGGGCAGAAGGCTCACACAGCGATTGACAGCTACCAGTTTTGAAACTGATATGTACTCGCTGCACTTCACCTACTTCATACATATATATATAGTTCCTATTTATCTGCTTTTTCAGCAAGGATTTGATAAGAACATGATGGGATCTTTAGCTGGAACAACCTTCAGGACCCTCTCATCCAGGTTTTAGGAGCCCCTCCACGCACCTTTAGGCTGCAGGTGAGAACAGGGCCCTCGTGCATGAGGAAGGGGTGGTTTGGGGTAAGGCACTAACTGATTAATTGTATTTTGCCAGATCCTCTCAGGTGGGGCTTTTCACAGGTCTCTTTCATTCCTGAATTTTGAGGAATGTTCTCCAGTGTCAGTAACATGCAATTAATTCCCTCACATGCGATGACATTAACCATCCCTTAGGGATTTTTTGGGCACACAATAATCCACCTGTAAACCTCAGGTCAAAATCTGCAGCTGCATGCTGTCATCCCAAAAATCCCAATAGAGAAACCAGGTTAGAGAAATCGGGGGCAGAATTTACACGGCACCATTATGGTTTTTCATTCATTGTGAACTGAGGATTTGATCTGTAAAGCATCTTTATCCATAATTCCCACTGAAGGGAAAAGCTTTAATCATTTCTCAAATATCAGATGTCTCTATGAGGAGGACTGAGATTACCCAGAAAGAATGGGTTTGCTCTTTGCAAACCAAACAAAATATGTGAGAAAATGGTGCAAAAGACCATTCCTTTCCTCTGCCCAGGTATATGGATTTCACTTCTTGCTCTGTTGGGATGTTTCCACTGAGACTCATAGAAGCATGGAAGTCTAGGGTGAAAAGCTATGGGCAATACAGAAACTGGGTACAGGCTAAGAAATGAGATTGAAAGTCGGGTTTGAATGTAATGAAAAGATCTCTTGAATGCTTTAATTATCTGGAGTTTTGTTTTTCCTTTGTTTTTTTTTATTCCATTTCAGAATTTGGAATTGGTTCATGTCCAGGAAGACAACCCTTCCACAATTACTTAGGATGTTAAAGGTGTAGAGTGTTACTGAGTTTAACTCAACTGTAAAGCAAACTAAACATATGGATTTCATGTGGATGATACTAATATTTTTAAGCATTTTCTTCTTTTTAGGGGGGAGAAGGGACTTTTATTGAGGTTATACTTTCTTGATGTCAATAATTATGGTTTTGTTTTTGCAAAGAGTGTGTCTGTGTAACTATGTGCATGTTGCTGTGTATGTGTGCATGCAGGCAACATACATGCGCACACGTGGCGAGTAGGATCTTCCTACAGGCTTAGTCCCCTGTCTTCCACTGAAAGTCAGTGTGAGTTGTGCAGTTTAACCCCCTTGGAGAGTTTTGTCCAATGCCACCCAACCCATGCACCAAATACTGCCACACTACAGACTTGTCACAACTTATTTTTACCCACAAGTATAAAAATCGCCGATTTTAGGTCAAGTTCCCCCATTGCATATGGCCGTTATCAACAGATACACACGATACTCTTCTTTACAAAGGCTGGTTATTCCTAACATTTATGAACACGGGCTTCTTTTCCACTTATGATTTTTTTTCTCCAATGAGCTCTTATAGTTATTAGCATTTTCTTTCCTGTTACGTGAACTCTTTGTCTCAAGAAGTGAACTGACGTCTGCAAAGTCTTTCCCGGGTCTCAGTAACCCTTCTCTGAAGCTACATGTGAGGGGACAATTACAACACATCTCCAAAGCATGAACACTACTGGCTCCCAAACCATTCTGAGCACCGGAACAACTCAGTCTCATGATTGTACCTGGACAAACGTGGCATTGGAGAAGTTGAACTGGAGACAGGCAAAGTGGTTTTCCCCTGGGAGCATTGACTGCCCCACAAGAATGAGAGAAATGAGGGGGTATTGATATGCAAAGGAATGTAAGCACTTGTGTGAATTCAAATTCGGAAATATTTTAATTCTTGGGATGCTTAATTACATGAATCACGCTGTGATGCTAAAGCTGTGATAGGCAATTGCTGAGCTTATCTTAGGCCAACCCACTTCTTACGGCAGGAACTGTGTGATGAAAGAAGCTGATCTTCCCCTGTCCAGAAGAAAAATATCCTCTACCTGTCCCCGGAGGGGATGGAGCTCAGATCCACAGGGAAAGGACCAGCTGAAGATACATTTGCTGGCTCTCCCCCACCCACAGTTATTGCTTCTTCAAACAGTGCAGGGGTACAGGACCCTGTTTTGCAAATATCAGGGTGCAGGAGGTGCTTGGGAAGGATGAATTGTGAGCCTGGAAAGGGAAAAACAGTCCCATTTCTTGCAAGTGTCAGACTCCTAAATTGGTGGGAAACAGCATGTCCCATTCCTTCACAGAAATGGGGTGATTCGTGCCCGCTAAAGAACCGTCCATGAAGTTCAGATTTGATCTGACACAGCTCTAGAGCTAAGAAACGTGGTAGCACTTGTTCGTCCCCCCTTTAGACCATAGGGAGCACGTGTCCACAGAGGGAGATCATTTCCCAGCTGGTTTTTTCTTCTCTTGGACTACAAAGAGTGGCTTAATCTTGTGCGCTTCAATGAGAAGCAACTCTTTGCTTGCCTTCACCCACATTCAGTCAAGAGCTTTCTGCACCGCGCTCCCAGCCAAATGAGAGGAAAAAAAGCACCTTTGAAGTGGGAGCTAGAACCAGGAGAATCCGGTAGGACAGTTTCAGGAGCATTTAAAGAGCAGCAAAGGAGCCCCAGCCCGTGGGCATGCCCTTGCCATATCTGCCAGCTCTTCCCTAGTTGGATGCATATTCTCAGTTCAAAATGGTTTTGGCAGGACCCAACACTGTGGATATCCAAAACAATGGCAGTATCCACAGGCAGGATTACTACAGTTTTGGTGAAAAAGCATGTTGCATGCCATTTTGCATTCAGATGTGTTCCTGTAATTACACGTTCAGCAGGAGTCCTGGGAGCTAATGTTTTTCTCCGTAAAATTAATTGGGGAAACCTAACTGCAAAACGTAATGATGGAATATTGAGGAAATTCATTCTAATTGGCTGTTATTTAGGCTTTATTTTAAAGCGCTGCCACTGCTTTCATCAGTAATGCAGTTTGTTGAATCACTTTATAAGGCGCAAAGGGCCGTAGCTGGATGATCATCATCTCACAATTAAATTTACAAGGACTAGAGATTTCATTAGTATTAGACTCCAAGAGACAGATGCATCATTTTATGAACACAGCAAAGTTGTTTTTCCAAAGCTAATAAAATGATAAAAATAAAGGTCTGTCTCCATCCTCAGAGATGTTCAAAACATGACTGGGCACAACCCTAAGCAATCTCATCTGGCTTTGACGTTATCCCTGCTTGGAGCTGGGCACACCAGAGAGGTTCTTTCCAATCTCATTTGGGTTTTATGATGCTGTATGTTACTGCTTTCATACCTCAGAATATAGCTAACTCGTGAGAGCAGTGGGCTGTGTGAACTGGAACCGCTCTGCCAGCCCAGGGCTATTTTGCAGCTATTACTTCCCAGGAAATTCCTGATGCTCAACTCTGTTTTCCTCTCAGTCGCTGGACTACAAACTCCACTCAAGTCAGTGAAGTGACACTGATGCCAAATTATGAGAAGAGAAAGGAAAATCAGACTTATTGGAGTAAGTGGTGTTGCTCATAACCAGCACTTTTGGGAGCTCAGTGAGGTTCCCTCCTGCACAGCCAGATGCTGTTCTCACCTCCAGTCCAGTTTTTACTCTTTCATTCTAGGGAGGTGTTCTTAAAGGCATGTTTTAATCTGCGATACCCTCTTTGATGAGCTGGTTTCCTGTTTCTTGCTTCTTTAAGAACCAAAGTAGGGTGTACCCCCCAATGACAGGGACAAGGGCAGGTCCTCAGCATGTAGCACATGCCCTGGGTCACAGTGCTGGAGAATGACTGAGGAGGGAAGGGCCATAGCTAGCAGCACCTTTAGCTCTGCCGGCAGCAGAAACCAAAGCGGTTGGGGCCTGATTTGTGCGCAGGACACACAACCATGTAAATAAATACCACACTTGTTTGTCCTGGGCTTAGCAGAGCTTTTTGGTCTAATTTTCTCATGAATGCTTTGTTTTGTTTTGTGTATGTACAATCCAACCCACCCCAGCATTTCAGAAGCCTCATGGACGAGTAGAAGGCAGTAGGCAGTTTTATTCCTCTCTGACCACACACTAGTTTGAGACCAACTTAGCCTACCAGTCCATAGCTATACAGTGTATTCTGTAAGATACAGGTATGTGAGAATAATGTATCAGAGTTTTGTTTTGGCTGTACTGTATGTATTTGCTTCATTGGAAAAGCTGAAATCAATAAAAATTGCTGGAATTTCTTCAAGCTTCCCAGTTTGACTGGTTTTATTTTGTTTGTCTTGCCAGTGTTAGGGAGGAATAAAGCATCTGTATGAAGGTTTGTAAAAGCCTGTTAGCCTCCAGCAGTGATCAGACTGGGCTGCTCTGTCTTATGCCAGTCTGAGTAATGAAGCTTTAAATCCCATTTCCTCCATATATGTGAAGATGCTTTTACTGTTTATGGCTTATTCTTCTGATTTCAGCTAGCTGTTCCTTTTTGGCACATTCAGGATGGTTTATGCTGAGCCTGGCAAAGGTTATGATGTCTTTCCTGTTTTTGTCTTCAGCTTTTTGAAAGACACCTTCTGATAACCTCCTTCTGCTGCTGCTTAACCAGGCCAGCTCCCTTCTGCCCTTCCTCCAGGATTCCTTATTGGTTGGGGATGCTGGGATTGTGTTTCAGTATGATAAGCACAGTCCACATTGCCTGTAAAGTGTAATTCTCCCTTTCTTTTTCCCATAACAAGCACTATCCTGTGAGTCCCCCTTTTGGAAGATGAGCACTGGATATTTAGGCTTTTGCTGATCCAGATGTTGATGTTATGGGGCAGCTCTATAAATGTAAGGTTTGAGGCCAGACTTTTCATGCTAATCAGGACCACATTAATGCTGCATCTGCTCTGGGGCCTGCCCAGCCTGCTCCATGAAATTGCCATCAGCAGCATCTAAGAATTTGGTCTCTGCATCACATCCCGCAGTAACGTAAGCCCAGCCTACATGGGGATGGCAGGATGTGCAGGATGCACTGAAGGCTTTGTGCTTCCCATACTGGGGAGCACTGCAGCATGTAAGTGCCGGCTTTTACAAAAGAAACAAGGAAGCAGCATCCTCTTGATCTCCTTCATAAGAAAGCTCTTCAAAGCAGAAACGTGGCAAAGGGGAAGGTGATTTCAGTGTTTAGGTTTACTCAAGGCAAGGCTGAGGACTAATTCTTACCACTGACAAGTATCTTAGGTTGTGAATCCTCTTCATATCAGACAGGCTTGGCACAGCCTGTGCATCCATGCATGGAAAAAGGGACAGGCATCACCCTACGCCATGCTGCTCAGAGCTCGTTTCCAGGAGCTCTTCTGAGGTCCTTGAAAGGTGGGCAAGCACTAAAGGGTTCAGCACAAAGGCAAAGCACCCAAACCCCGACGTTGGAGCCAGGTTTGCAGCAGCACTTCAAAACCAAAACTGCGTTGGCAACTGGGAGCATTCCTTACCTAAGCTGCTTCTAAGCCACAGTGCAGCAGGCATACCTGCAAGTGGTTTTCAATGTAACAGCTAAGCATTTGTCTTACAAAAGTCCATTAAGGAGCAGTGTATCCAGAACCCCTTGGGAGGGTTAAATATCGATATCGCATGCATAGTAGAGATGTCCATCCCACAGCTTCTTCAGGCACAAATCACATCTGAGAAAGGTCCTATAAATTACAGGCTAGAAGAGCAAGTTCAGCATAATGCAGACTGCCTAAAACTAATACAGGTGAGTCCTACCTCCATATTCTTGAGTGGGCTCTCTGGACACTGAAGAAGGGCAGGATATGTCAGCATAGCTCTCGGTACATGTCTCCAATTTGGAAATCAAGAATTGCTCAGCAATGGAACTGATATAGGACTATGTGCTTGGGTCTCTATCCATTTGCAGCATGTAAAATGAATACCAAGAAACGAGGATGTCTTTTTCTTTTGGGATCTGTATCCTCTGTATGAACGCATAAGAAAAGCCCATTTTTGGACAGGACAGTCAGTAGACACACACAAAGACCACAGGGCAGTTAGCAAGAAAAAGGCCCATTTTAGGTCCATGGGATACCTTCCCACACATCCCAGGAATACCCAACGTTCCCAAGCCATACCCCAGAGGATCACCACTTCCCAGCCAAGAGCAGTTCCCAATTCCACAGCACAGCCACCACACTGCACCGTGCAGGGCATCCCTAGGGAGCACCAAGCCCAACCCACACACCGCAACAGCACCAACGACCCCACGGTACCAACACCTCCTGCTGGGACACCCCCAACAAAGCTCCTCTATCTCGGTTTCCCACATCCTGGGTGAGATCACCCCAAGCAGATGCTGTGGCATCCTGGCCCCACGGCACGCTGCCGAAGGACACGTGGCAGCCCATACCAGAAAGCCCTGCCCCATGAAAGCAAGGCGTATGCAGAAGAGGTTGAGCATATGCATAGCACCCACAGCCCAAAGCCCCCACAGCGCTCGTGCACCCACACCCCAGGGCATCTCCACCACAGGAGCCGGGGGCCTGGGTCAGGAGCAAGCACAGGCAGTGACTCATTCCCTACTCACCTTCCCTGTAACGTGCATGACTTTGTGCTCCTCTGCCTAGAACCCTCATTTGTATCTTTCCCACAGTTATGTGTCCCTGCTGATTTAATCTTGCCAAGCACAGACACTGTTACCTATCCAAGGTTGTACTCGGCCCCTTCCTTGCTGCTTCCTAAGCTTGCCTTTCTCTTGGAGAAGCCTTTTGATGGATTCCTGTGAGGCATCCCCAACACAGGGCCATGTCCACTTTGTCTAACAACAGGAGGTCTCTCCTTTGCACTGCTTGGATGCAGGAAAACATTGAGCCTTCACTGCATACTCTTCTCCATCAGGGTGGGTGAAGTGGTGACATCCAGAGCAACACTTCCTGGGTTAAGGAAACTCTGTGCAGTTTGTCAGGATGTGAGATGCTGACCTCATCATACTGGATGCCTTCGAGTACTGAAGGGGCCTATAGGGATGCTGGGGATGGACTCTTCATTAGGGACTGCAGTGACAGGACAAGGGGTAACGGGTTCAAACTTAAACAGGGGAAGTTTAGATTGGATCTAAGGAGGAAGTTCTTTACTGTGAGGGTGCTGAGGCACTGGAATGGGTTGCCCAGGGAGGTTGTGAATGCTCCATCCCTGGCAGTGTTCAAGGCCAGGTTGGACAGAGCCTTGGGTGCCATGGTTTAGTGTGAGGTGTCCCTGCCTATGACAGGGGGGCTGGAACTGGATGATCTTAAGGTCCTTTCCAACCCAAACCATTCTGTGATTCTATGCTCACACTGAGCATCCTTCATCTGTCTGAGCCCGAGCGATGCTTCTCCAGCTCTGCCTCCCATTACAGCCCTCTGCAACTTGTTAACCTCATGCAGGAAAGGCTTTGACAAGAGGGTAATTACCTTCCTACCACCACCCTCCTGTGCACTCATTCTGTGCTGACATGACCAGCTGTGAGCACTGCTCAGCACTGTCGTACCCACCCACAGAGCCTGCAGGAGACCCTCCTGAGCTTGGTTTCTCTCTTGACCTTCTGCGTTTCCGCAGATGAGGAGCAAAGCAGCTGCAATCCCCCCAGCTTCTCAGCAGTGAATGCCCCCTCCCTGCCTGGCGTGCCCGGCTTCCCAAGGCAGTGCAGTGGGAAAAGCAGCAGGGAGACCTTTCCAGAAGTGATAAAGCTGTTGGTTCCTGGCACTGCAAAACCCAAATACTTTCCCAGAGAACCAGAGTTCCTCCCTCCTTTCCCTGGCACTTCTCGCCACAAAAAGCCTCATAATTGCACTGCGGGATCTTACCTAACAGATCTGAGCTCGGGCAATAACTGTAACTGCTTTTGGGTCCCGAGGCCAAGTTTCAATCTGAGAGATGACCCAGACTGGGTGCTGTACAATGAAGTATAGCAAGAGATTCGCTTTGTGCATCTTACTGCTTTCTTCCTTGTGTTTTCTATTCTTTCCCCAGGAAGCTTCTTTATCTCACAGTACAGGTAACTCCTGCTTCACCCAACAAGGATCTCTCCCGGCAGAACAGGAAAATCAGTCACATTGTCAGCAAGGCTGAAAGAAATGCTCAAAAAAAGGTAAAGGGAGAGACTGGAGATGATCTGAGCGTCTTTGTGTTCCACCCTGAGCTTCCTGCAGCATGGTTTACACACGATGAAAACTGATTGTTGTATCCCATCAGGGGATGAGAGGCAGCCATGGAGGGCGAAGGTGCTGGCTTAGCATCAGAGCAGCACCACTGGCAGGGTCGCAGTGAGACTCTGGATTTCCCAGGCAGCAGCACATCTCCTAAATGGCTCCTGTCATTTTTGTCTGTGCAACGAGAAACTGGCTGTGCCTACCCCAGTTTATTGGTTTGATTTATTCAAGGGTAATGCAGAAGTGACACGGAAATGATTTCCTATAGGATGAAGGCGTTAAAGAGCCAGGAGAAAGGGGAGAAGGGGGAGATGGCTCAGGCAAGTGTTGATGCTGGTCAAAGCCATGAGTGCCTGGTACATGGAGCAGAGCCCGCACCCATTGCCATGCCCCTGGAGCCTCCTGGGTGATGCAGCAGCATCACTGCAGGGCTCAGCCACCGTGGGAAAGTCAGCGGAGCCACGGCACATCCCGGCTCAGGTGAGTCAGAGCCGCACCTTGCTCTGAGCAAGGAGGCAGCAGAGCCCCGAGAGGCACCCAAGAAAAGGCAGAGCACAAGAGGGAGCTTTGTACCCATGGGGGGCCTCGAAAACCCATCCCCACGCCTGGGCACTGGAGCTTCATCCCAGTAAAAACAGGGGTGAGGCTGTGTGCTGGAGCGCGGCAGCCAGTGGGAGAAGGAGAATGGATGGAGGAGATTTTCCCAAGCATAGCAGGGAAAGGCTGACAGTGACTGGCAGGTCTCCAGCAGGCAAGAAAGGGAATGGGATGAGCAGTCTCCATTACTCATGGGCAGGTAGCTAACTGCTCAGCTTTGCCCTGGGAAGGGTCAAACAGAGCCCAGTGCTGGAAAAGCCGTGGGAATATCTTCTCCATGCCTCCTCTAAGCTCTGTCCCTGTCACAGCCCTCCTGCCATGGAGCACATCCCAGCGTGAACACGCTCTGCAATCCCCAGAAACCAAGGCTGGGGAGCTGGTCCACACATCTGGTGTTTGGCAGAGAGATGGAACCTTTTCATCTCCATTGTGAGTTGGAGGGACAGGAGTGATGGTGGGGGACACATGCGATGCCATGCAGCCCTATG